ATTTCAAAATAAAGAGCTGTTTTTAAAAATCCCACTAGAAAAAAAGAAAGCTCTTTGACAATACATGTGTGTGCCCATGTGTGATCAACTCAGCTCTGCTTAGTGAACTCTAAGGGCAGGAACCCAGTTTGCTGGTTAGCGGCAGCAGAACCTCTTTGCTGCCCCCTGGATGCCTCAGTGCTGATATGCTCTACCTGGGTGAGTTCTCTCACACTGGTAACTTTTTACTGCATTCGGCTTAATGGTTCACATGTCTAAGTCATTCTACGAGATGTCAAACACAGGTCCACACCAATGTCATTTTTGAAACCTGTATGTTAGCTCAGCACCTGGCACTTATTAGGGAACAGGTGGCAAACACAAGACCCGCAGGCCAAATCCAGACTTCCACTTTGTTTTATCCGGCCGGCACCTTGTTTCTACCCCGCAGCAGCGCCGAGCTCCTTGACCCTACTGAAGGAGTAGTTACATTTATACAGTCCTAAAGTTACATTCAGCCCTCTGAAGGCAACCTGGAGGCTGATGTGGCCCCCCATGAAGATGAGTTTGACACCCCTGTAGGGATTAAATAAAGGCTAGTGAATGGGTGAGCTATAAACAAATTGCCTGTATGTTCATTTGAAGAAATGGCTATAGGAGTTTAGTGTCTCTACAGGAAACAGTTTAGAGAATGAAAGCATCTAATCTTACAGGGACATGTGGCCCTCATTTCCTAAAGCCGAACAATTCCATGATGACCAGCAGGGGGAGAACTACTCCTTAGTTTATAGTTGGAATGTAACGCGCTATCTGTGACTACAGGAGTTTCCTGTGTTTAATTTTATCCAACGCTTACATTTATAGAACTAACAATGTCTCCAGAGTGACAATTGTTTTTTGTCATTTTTACTGCTGTTATATTAATTGTTGCTGTGAAGCATAGTTATAAACTTGCAACTTCCCCACCTACAATCAGGACTTCCCACCTACCGAGTCAACACGTCCTCATCCTTCCTCAATTATGCTTCAAATTGTGGTAAAATAAACGCGCGCGCACACACACACACACACACACACACACACATACACACACCACATAATGAAATTTACCATCTTAGCCATTTTCAAGTGTGGAGATTAGTAATGGTGAGTATATTCACATTGTTACTCAATAGATCTCAGAACTTTTCCATCTTAAAAAACACGAACTCCATACCCATTAAACAACAGCCCCCCACCCCCATTGCACTCCTCCAGTCCCTGGTTACCAGCATCCTACTTTCTGTTTCTATTCGTTTGACACCTTAGAGATACCTCATGTTAGTGGAATCAGACAGTGTTGTCCTTTTGTGTCTGACTTATTTCACTTAGCATGGTGTCCTCAAGACTCATCCATACTATAGTAGGTGGCAGATTTTGCTTACTTTTTAAGGCTGAATAATATTTTATTGCATGTATAGGCCACATTTTGTTTACCCACACATCCATCAGTGGACATTTGAGTTGCTTTCCCCTTTTGGTTCTTGTGAATAAGGCTGTAGTGAATACAGGTATGCAACACATGCCCTTTTAAATATGAAATCGGTATGCACTCACAAATGACTCATGTCTTAATTTTAAACTCAGCCTCTTCACCATCAGAAAGCTTTGCAAACAACTGAAAGTAGATTTTGAAAAATCGTTACTGTACAGAACACGTAATAACAAGAAGTGCTTTCTTCTGCCTCCAATAGTCTCTTCACCACTATCCAGTCTCTGCCCACTGTCTGATCCCAAAGCTAATGCCACACGTTTAAAGTTGTTCTTATAGTACCACTTCTTTCAGGTACCAATTTTATGTTTTTGTGTAATAAAAATACTCTAAGACATAATAGCTTCAAAGAATGGTCAATATTTCTCATGATTCTGTGGCTGTGCTCAGCTGGGTGGTTCTTCTGATGGTGTCACCTGGGACCATTCATCAGCTGCAGTCATCAGCCCCATTAGGACTGGCGGGCCTTACCCCTTCTCATGGGGCCTTGGTACAGGCTCTGAGTTGAGCCTCACTCCTCCATAGTCTCCCCTCATTCAGTAGTGTAGCCTGGGCTTCCTTATATGCTGGCAGGAGCATTTACAGAGCTGAAAGCATAGGCTGTGAGGTGACCTCATCAATGGAAAAGTCAGTTTTGCCATATTCTATTTGGTCAAAGCAAGTCACAAGGAGAACCCACATTAGAGTCATGGAGCAGCGAAGTCACACTGCACAGGGGCCTGCAGGATGGAAAGAGCAAACATTCTACGACAGTATTGAAAGGGGAGATGTAATGGGAACTACTCTGATGGGGGACCGTGAAAAAGGGAAAGAGAAAGTAGGGTTGACAGGGATGTGTGATCTCCTGGGTTATGCACTACACTGAGGAGCTGAGCCAAAGGCCAGGAGTATCGGACACAGGAATTGTTTACACTTCAGATGAAGTGAACTTTTTATGAGCCATAATCTCTGAAGAGGGAAGGAGCCCAAATAGCACAGAAGTTCTAACTCAAACTCGGTCCATCTTTTCTCCCCTCCCTATCTACCCTTGGGTTTCAAAAGAGTGGATAGAACACAAAATATTCCCCTCTGACACTGCAGTTTAAAGGGGAAAAACAAATGACTCTCAGGCAACATTGGCAGATGGCCATCCACTCCACCTTAGAGTCAAATTGAATGCTAATCATGAGTAAGAGTGTTTAAAATGTCCTTAAACTCAGCAATTATTCTGCAGGATGAAGGAGAAGCAAGGGAGGGAGGGAAGAAGAGAGGAGGGACGGGTTGGTCTCTTCCGCCTAAAAGGAATCATAAGTCAAAGAATGGGAAGAAATACCAAAGAAAAGCTTCCCGTTACAGAACAGAAAACTGAGAAGGTGAATCCAATAAGTGAAAAAAAACCACAACAAAGAGATGATAAGATGTAAAATGAGCTTTAAAAGGGGGGTAGTGTTGTGAACCGCCCTGCCTCATTTCGGAAGCTGTAACACCTCCCCTCCCCCCATGGCTAAGGCTGAGTGAGCGACCTTCGGACCATAAGCCACTAAGAGACAAAACTTATGTCCCTTTGCCGCTTCTGCTCCTTTCACTTCATGCATAACAGGCCCCCAATGCTTGATAGGTTAGCCAATGATGGGTAAGATTCCCCAAGGGGGGGATGACCTAAAACAGGCATGATAACAGGGAGCCCCCAGGGAAGGACTTGGGGGGCTACAGCAAAAGGGAGTGATGGACCCTTGCCCCCGGCTTTGACATAGCCTGAGTCCTCATTCTGTCTTAGAGAAGTGTCCTAATCTCTTGGCTGCCTTACTTACCCTGCCTCACTTAAGCCTGAAACAATGACAGAGGGTGGTGCTGTCCTGTGCTGAAAAGGGCAGGTTCCTGGGGGCAATCAAGCCTAAGAAAGAATACAAAAAATTCTGTAAAGCCTGCTCTCAATTAACTGATAAGGGTCCAAGTAGGAAACCAGTTTGTTTCCCAAAGTTTTGTAGCCCTTTAGCTAACAAAGCCTGACTCAGATAGGCCCTCAGCTTTGTATCTTATCTATTGTTTGATCCTTACTGCCTGACATGATTGATGAGCTTTACCTGTATTCCTGTGCACAATGAACCCAATAAAAACCCATTGAGCAAAAGGCACTTGGCCCTTATCCTTTGAGAGATTGGCTGCCTTTCCTCTCCAAGCAGGTCATGTCTTGGTGGACTTATTCTCATCCATGGCAGTGGGGGGGGGGGGCCTGTGGGTGGAGCCCCCTCACAGGATAGCAGGCCCAAAGACAATAAATAAAAGAATAAATTACAAATAACAAAGAAAGAAAACCTTGCTGAACAGTGGAATCAGGCATATAGGGATGCTTGAGATAATGACAGTGATGGAAAGTGTAAAAGAAAGTGATGAATGACATAATTAAGGAGGTAACATAGTAAATGGGGTGTTAACAGTAAGAGGGTGCCTGGGATGGTTGTTATTTTCCTCCTTTTACTTTACAATATATTTTTTTAATTTCAAAATAAAATAACATCCTAATCTGTAGATTAGGGAAACATTATCAGTCTTTAAAAGAGAGTTCATGGAAGGTAAGGAGGTTTCGGAAGGTGGTCAGAAGCCATCTTACTGGAGTTCCAGAAAGGGGGGCAGGTTGATGAGGAAATAAAGTCAGAAAATGAAAACCAGCCCCTGATCTGTCCCGTCCCCCCCGGTGAAAGGAGACTGACTGCGAGAGATCCCGGGGACAGAAGCCACTGGGTGAGGGCTGTAGGAAAGTGGAAGGACAAGGACAGAGGTAGGAATCACTGATGTGGGTGTGAGGGGGGAAGGGTTAATAATTAAGGAAACAAAGCCCTGGAGGAAGCAGTCAGGTCTGGGGGGAAACACGCTCACTCTGTGAAGGACCGGAAGGAAGGAAGGTGGGCAGGTGCAAACACAGAAACACTCAAAAGTGGAAAGGAAGATGACACAAGACAAACGTTGTGTGCAGTAGGGCAGAATGCAATTCAGCACAGACCTTTTAGAATTGTGTTAACATCGCTGTAGTGAACAGCAATGCGATTGAGGGAAGAGCTCTTATTCACTCCTTTCTGCTGTTTGGACACTGATTGTCACATACATAGATATTGGTATATGTGGTCATCAGTGCCCAAACTGATACTTCATGGCTTTTTTTAAATTACCTACAGGAATTTTCTGAATTCATTTTCCCCAGATTATAAAATTAATCCATTATAGAGAAACATGAAAGTGAGGATCACCCCAAATCCCACCACACAGGTAAAATCAGTGTTAATAGTTTAGTGAATGAACTGCTGGAAAGAAAAGTGTGGAGAACAGAGAAGTACAGAAGAAAAGGAGGGGAAAGAGGAGGAAAAAGGAATTTGATTTGTATTTTCACCAAATGATCGTGAGCTATTTTAGAAACCATCATTTTCAACTTCTATATTGTGAAGTTTCCCACTCCGGTAAATTTAGTGAAACAGCACATTTTAAGGGAGTATTCTATTACATGCATATGCTATCGCTCGTTTCTCCAATAAGCATCAACCACGTAGATCGAGCATCACTGTGTACCTTCCCACTTTGTAAAATGGCTTCTTCACAATAAATTTGAGGAACTGAAATGTGAGTCATGGTATATGAACACTGAGACCTACAGAACGCGATTATCAAATTGGCTTCGATACTTCGTGGCACCTTGTGCCCCCAGCCCCCAGGCACGACCGCCTATCAACTTCGTGACGCTGGAGATCTGGGATCTGCCTCTTTTAACTGTTTCCCATACAGTGAGGAGCAAAATGTCATCAGCGTGCCTGCAATTTAGTTAATGAGCTAAAACATTTTTATATACTTGTTTGCTCTTTGCATTTCTTTCCTATGAATGTCTTAATCCAAACTTTTGTCCCCTTTTCAACTGAGTTAACATTTTTCAGTTTTGTGTTTTGTACTCTTTTTATTTTTTTTTTAATCCTCATTCGAGGAGATATTCATCGATTCCAAAGAGAAAGACAAGGGGAGAAAGAAAAAGAGACAGAGACAGAGAAAAACATCGATGTGAGAAACATCCATCAGTTGCTTCCTCTAAGCTGTCCCTGCTGGGGTCTGAACACACAACCCTGACATGTGCCCTGACCCGGAATTGAAACCCAGACTTTTTTGTTTATGGATAATGATGCTCCAATAAACTGAGCTTCACCGGCCAGGGCATGTTTTATGCTCTTTTTTATTAATGATATTTCATGCTTTTAATACACTATTAATACATTTATGTCAAGTGCTGGTTTAGAATTCAACTACTGATGGAGTACAACTAGATGAACTTAAACATTTTTAGTGTGCTTTTTAAGGAGGTAACATGATATACTGTTTCCAGCTTTGCCAAGCCCTGGGTTCCAATCCCTATAAGGGATAACCCATTAATCAGGGTTACAGATTAGTATGTTCACATTACAGAATGGTTGAGAAAATATGTACTGTGTACAAATCATTTAACATTATGTCTGGGACAAAATAAAGTGCTAGTGAAGATTAGCTATTATCGTAATTATCATCACATTTGGTTTAGTTTCAGAGATCTTTGATACCACAATATTTACTGACTCATTATGTACATGAAAATTTGAGTTTATTTATCAGACACCTAGTGGATAGAATGATTTCCCTCACCTCGAACACTTCTTTGTTCACACTCCACCAATGCTAGACTCCATTGCCTTGAATTTCGAAGACAAGAAAGGGGATGGGAGAAATTTTTCTCCTCTTTGGTGAAGCCAAGTTGCCTGAAATCTGTTTGTTTTGGGTGCTCCAGTGTGGTTGTTATACCCCCTGCTTATTTCCCTTCCAGGCTGATTGCTTTTCCTCACTGCTGAAGGTGGAACCTGGGGTTGCTGAAGGTGAGACCTGAGATAGATGCTCTCGCGCGCCTCCCGCGCTGCCAGGGGGTGTTTACAGCGGCGGCAGCGGCTTGTTGCCGGAGAAACACTATGTGCTTTGCAGGGAGGTTTCATCTGAGATGCTCACGCTCTTAATAGCTCAGTTCATTTTCCTGCGCCGTTCATTAGGCATCATACTTTCCACAGGATGCAGTCAATGTAACAACTGTGAACGGCCCTTGATCGGCATTACTTGATCTCTGTTTACTGTTTTTTAAAATTCTGCCTGGGCACTAGGAAAATATCTAAGTGAACTCCATTTAAAAAAAATATCCCATTGAAAAATACTACCTTGCACTTAAAAACTAAGAATGTGAGAAACAATTCATTTCTATGTGATTGCTTTAGTTGGTGTCTGTGACCTGCGATCACTTAGTTATTTTCAATGAATGTTTTCCGTCTCATTGATTTTTATTCATCTGAACTTTGTTTTTTGAACTGAGCAAGTACTATGTACCTGACACTGTGTTTCTGTTATTAATGGCAGGTAATTTAGGAGACAAAGGCAACAGATACGTGAAAAGGAATGTATTGGTTTAAGAAATATGCTAAACGCCAAATGAGAGTTACAACCACTAGGGGGAAAATCCCACAATATTGAATTGTAATCCTTGTCAAACAGCTGTCTTGACATCAGTTACAGTTTGGGGAAATAAAGTTTTAAAGGATACAATCCAGCAAGTTTAACAGAACACAGGCTGGTGAATGTTTAAGGTAGTGCAGCTTCTTGGAATTTCTCAATTTCCTTGTGAGGTTTGTGGTAATGTGTTCTCTTTAGGATACAATCTTGCCAGGTCCATGGAAGTCCCACGTGGAACCAATAACCCAACATCCTGAAATTACTCTTTCCTTTTACAGTGTCAGACAGCCATTAGCAAGTGCTCTACTTGGATCTTGCATCAGGTGTCTGGGCACTGTTGGCATAAGAAATGTCCAACCCTGGAGAGAATTTTATGAATTTGTTTGAGCCAAACCGATGCCATAAGCTGGGGAGCAAGATGTCAAATGCTCTGGAGAACAGCAGGTTTGCAGCTTCTTCTATGCATTTAAAATTAAGGAGGGAGCGGACTACATGAAGGTGGGAGGGAGCAATGTGGGGATCGGATTACAGGATACTTAAGATATGTGTTCTCTTGGAGGTTAATACTCCCTTTGAGGGCTATTACTTCTGGTATTTCAGAGACATGTTAATTTAGGTGCATTAGGACAATGGACAGGCTGGTCTAAATTCTTTCACTAAAGAAGTAAACAAGGTTAGGTGCTCCTAGTGAGGGTGGTTACACCTTCAAGGGGTCTGGGAAGGAGGATTTCCAGCATTTAAAAGGAGTAAACCCTTTGCACAAGGACAATGGACAGGGCTGGCTTAAAAAACATTTACTAAACAAATTATAGGCCCAGAATGTGACTGCCCACCAGGACCTTTCCAGTTGCAAATTTATGTTCAGATCATCCTGTGATGTTGCTTTCAGTCACTGAATTTAAACATACACGTTTTCATCCCCAATGGGCTAGTATGGAGTTAAATATAAATCAACAGCCTCTGGTGGGATGAAAGGGGCTTTTAAAAAAATGTTGTCTCTCCCTTTTAGCATCCCATAGATATACAACCTGTTCCAGCAATTCTTTTATTTCTAGTAGGCTAAAACACACTCTATGCATCTATGGTTTCTGGGGTGGATATAATTTCTAGTAAACATTATCTTTTCTTTAATTGCTATTTACGTACAATAGAGAGAATAGATGCAAAAATTTCATGTTGGAAAAAAAATCTATGGAAGGTACATGTTGGAGACTTTTCCTCTGGTTTCAGACCATTCTAAATACTGGAAGGCTATTTATATATGTCTGTTGCTTGTTTTTACCTGGAAGTATGATTCAATGTAATTAAATTATCCAACAAGAATATAGGTCACAGATCAGAAGTGGATGTTTACTCTGTGAACCTGTAATGAACTTGGGCTCTTTTTTCTCCTTCAAACAATATAGCTGCAGTTTATTGTCCACAACAGTCTCACTCAGGATCAGTCCCTGGAGAACCATGACCACCTCCTCTGCCCTCCCCCTTTCACACACACACACACACACACACACACACACACGCACACACAGGGAAAGCAGCCAAGCTTCTGTATGCACAACTCATATTGGTGCATCTGCTTTCTCTTAGCTTAGAGGCTCTTAGAGGCTCTTATATTCTATAGATTTTTTTCTACCTTACAATACTCAGGCCAAAATCCAGGGAGAATACCCTTGGACTGTAGCCATGCTAAAATTTTACTTAATGCTCATGAAAGCACCCATACCCCAAAGTCCAGCGATAGGCTTCAGCAGGAAGTGTAACCTTCATATTTGGTCTCAAAGTTCACATGCCATTTGCTGTTATAGATAAGCCTGTACTCACAGAGCAGGGCAGGACACTTATCGCAGCTAAGGACAGAAAAATGTCAAGGGGTCACAGCCTCTCCTGCAGGAAGAGGTGGCTCAGCTGTCTCAGCTGCTTAAACGGGACGAGGCCAACTGGCCTAACAGTCCCCCGTGTGTCTACTTACCCCCTGGAACCTGCACGTTTTCTCTCTTCCCCCAAAGGTCTGCCCTCTTCTCTCTGATATTTGAAAGTATTTTTAAGTTCCACCTGGGTATTTGCCGGCCATGTGTACACTGACTACTATGTCATTTAAGAAATACTGACCAGAGGCGTGGCAGTAAAACTAGGGCTAAATAAAGGTTTTGCTCAGCATTTGAGAAGCAAAGAATAGCTTTTATTTTAGAAGGTATGAGAAGGAGTTTCCACATATGGATATGGAACTCATCATCCACTCTGAGGAAGTGGTGACTGCTCACACACTTTAAACTGATGAAATAGTGAAAGAAGGGATCTCTTTCAAGACAGGAAAAGAAAAACAAATACTGTGTAAGAACAACTGGAAAAAAAGGCTGAGTAGAAACAGGGGCGTCGTTTCCTTTAGAGTCAGCACAGAATTTATAGTCTGACATTTCCTTTAAGAATGGGGGATTATTGTAACAAAGCAAGAAAAATGAAATAGTTGTATATTATAAACTGGTCATAGTGGTAATTGTAGAAAATATCAGAAGTAGCAGTAAATGGCAAAATGTCAAAAATACGTCCATCCGAGGGAGGCTGCAATGCTCTTTCCTCACCCATTCACATGGAGAGCTTCAGCCCATCCTCCAAGTCCCTGCCCCCATGTCTCCACCTCCAGGAAGCCACAGCCAAGACTGCCAAGCAGCGCCCAGTGCCTCCTTTGGGCTCCCTGGCTCTCACCCATGGCTGCATCATACATTTATCACCTTTTAGGGATCATTTACCCTTCTGCTGCCTCTTTTCTCTCTCCAAGACTGTAAGAATGCTAACTTGTTTTGCTTTGTATTCCTGGTGTCCAGCAAAGGTGAGAGGCATCTATCCATGTAATTGAGATCTTCCAAGAAGCTTCATGTAGAGGCAGTCGTGTGTGTCCCCCAATTCCCCTGCATGTGTTTGGAAGAATAAAAATCAGTGAGACACTCCTATGAAGAAATAGATATCTTTCTTCAAGTACAGCTAAAAAGATTGGTTATAGAAAACAAACGGGAAAATTGTGAAAGTGGAGGAAAGACAGACAGGCTAGAGTACTTGGGGCCCAAGTAAAAAAAATACTGTGGTGAGTTTCCGAGTTTTCTTGTTAGATCATATATCCCGGACTTGGAAGTGACAAAGTCAGCAAACTGGAAATGCTGAGTACAGACAAAAAGAAGCCCTATAAAAAGGCCTGCTCTCTCTCTCTCTCTCTCTCTCTCATTCTCTCTCTCTCTCATTCTCTCTAGCCAAAGGAACAGAAGAACAGCCTAGCAAGGAAAAAAAAACAGTAACTACTCCACTTCAGCCAAACACTACAGAACAGACCATGACCCCACCCATTCCAGCAAAGACAGCGTGGGAAGCCTAGACTTCCACCCTTGTCAGGCTGTGAACAGGTTCCTAAAGTCTCCCGCCAGGGCGGAGTTAGAGAAGGCTGAGTAAGAACTGGTCATTTCATTCCAACCTGCTGACAATAAAGCTTCCCCTGTCCACAGTGTCAGAGACCATGTGCGGCACTGCAGGGTGCCCTGCACATCCCAGCCAGGGAGGCATCAATGGAGGCAAAGTTGGGAGCTGAATTCCCACCACTTCCAATAGCAATGAGGGCCCCCTCTCACCCCAAGCATCATTGGAGGCTGAGTAGGAAACACACCCACCAATAATGAGGCAGTGACCCCCAATTCTCCTGCTAGGGTATTAGAGAAACTCAGCTAAAATGGAAGAGTTGAATAAGACCCATAGTTATAATAACATAATACTAAAATACCCAGGTTTCAGTTGAAGATCACTCATCACACTGAAAAACAGAACAATCTTTTTGAATGAAAAAAGACAACAGATGCCAACATAAAGATGACACAGATGTCAGAATTATCTGACAAGGATTTTATAGCAGCCATGATAAAAATGCTTCAGTGAGCATTTGCACACATTCCTAAACCAAATGAAAAAATAGGAAGTCTCAGCAAAGAGATAAACATTTTCAGCAAAGAAAAAGATGGAAATAAAAATCAAGTGGAAATTTTAGAAATAATAAAACCATAACTGAAATATTAAAAACAATGGATGAGCTTAAGAGTGTAATGGACTAGACAGAGAAAAGAACCAGTGAACTTGAAGACAGAACAACAGAAATTACCCAACAGAAATTGTTTGAACAGAGAAAAAGTAAACATTAAAGCAATAATAACATATAGAGCTTTAGAGATCTGTGGTATTAAAACAAGAACCAATGAAACTTTCTAAATTATTAAATAATGTTAAATGCAAATTATATTATCTAAAGGTCTCTGTGGCCCCAACACTCTTGAAGAATAAGTATCATCTGAAAGACAAATACAAATCTCAGTGAACTAATAGAACTAATCTATTAGGTGCACTAATAGAACACCTAAATTAGAACCAGGTAGCCTAAAAGTGAATGAAGCCTTTGAAGGGTCACAGGTTGTCACTAAAGAATAGAGTCTATGCCATGGAGAAATCAAGTTCATTCATCATGACCACCAAGTAGATACACGGTGGTGGCAACACGTTCTCTTTAAATCTATGGAACTTCAAATTGAACGGCTCAGCACGATACAGCTCTGCTGCTGGTGGGCTCATTTTTGTGCTCAGAGGAAAACATCCCTACCATCCCCATGAAAAATTCCAACTAGCAGGTGTTGACAAGTCCTCTGAAGTGTCATCAAAATAAGACATTTTTAACAATGTAAAAGAACCACTTTTAGAGCTATTTTCAACCCTCATTAATTATCAGTGAACAGAATAGGGATATTTTTCTTTTTCGGTACAAATGTGGAGTAAAATTTTATAACAGAACAATATATTCAATGCACAGATCTGCCCTCAAATTTTAACTTGTTAAAGCCATTAAATCTGAAGAAACCCAATCATAATTTTTTTTAAAAACCCACAAGATAATGTATTTTGGTTTTTGAGAAATATTTTACATTAATTTTTTTAAAATTAAAACTACAATAAATGAAATTTCAAAATTGCTTTTAAAAGAATCAAGGATCGCCTTGAAATTCTTGTGATGATAGCAATGTAACCTGGACTATTCCAATTCTATTCATGAGTCTGGCACTGCCAGTTCCTCAGAAGTTTATTCATGGTAAGAAGGTTCAAATATCTGGAGTCCAGACAATGTTCACAGGCTACTTCTGCCTTTAAGAGAAGTAGAAGAGCAGTTTTAGGCTCGGTCTGTCTTTATTCCCAAATGTGAACAACTCTTACACGTCCAAACGTGTGCGAGACTCGGGAGGAACACTTCCCAACTGCCAAGCTGAGGCCGCCGCTTCTCTGAGATGGTCATATCCCAGTTCTAGCTCTGGTTGGCAATTCCAAACAATATGAGAATGTGAAGGAGGACTGTGTGAAATACAGGGTTCTTTCAACAAGATTTATGGCGAGTTTTTTAGAATAAAAAAAAAATCAGTCTTCTTGGTTAAATGTTGGCAAACGAGTTTTCAACTTTAAAATGTCTGAAATTGGCTCTTTTCTTTCTTGATAGAAGCTGAGTCCAGTGATGTGCTCCACATCCGTGATCCGAGCTGTGTGTAATTTCACCAGCTCCTCAACCCACAATGACTCCTGCTGCTCGTGCTGTGAGGGTGGGTGGGAAATGAAGCAGAAAAGTCACTGAAAAATAGTTCACTTTTCTGACAAGCTCCCCATGTCCCCCATTTTAATCAACTTTGACCCTTTGGCTCCCAAATGGCAGATGCCTCAAGATTTATTAGGCATGATCCCTGCTCTTAACTAACTCCCTGTGTAATATATTCTATGCATATTTGTTTAATCAGAGACATCAAATTTGGGGAAAGAAAAGTATACCCAAATCACATGCCCATTTATTGCATGGGTACAAGAAACTACAATGGGGTGGGGTTAAACCAGGTTGGAAAACAGAAGCAACATGAGATGGTAGAAAGGACATGGTAGTTAGCATAACAAAACCTGGATTTACATCATGGTTCTGCCATTACCCTACCAGGTAAACTTCTGAATCCTGATTCTCTTCCTGTACCCTCCACACAGGGCTGTTCTGAGGATCCAATGTAATGATGTGTTTAAATGCAGAATGCAAACACTAGTACTTCCCAGAATCCATTAAATACAGAGTTGCAGTGAAAAAAGGGTTGAGGAAAGTGGTAAAACACAACTGGACTTCTGGTGAGGTAGTGAAGTCTTAGCTAATAGAAGGTCAGTAAAGAACTAAAGGCATGGGCTCTGTCACATGGAAGCAGAGATGGCACCTGAAGCAGGTGACAGAGGTGGATGAAAATCACATGCCCACAGTTCAGTGTAAATTTTTCTGAAAATAGCTACTGGGGAAGGTCAGATGAAGAAAGTATCCACTGGTTGGTGGGCTATGATTGTACTTTAAACACATCCTTCAATAAAGATTCACGTACCCTTGGGACATTGTTATCAAAAATGATAAATGCAGACTTTTCACATAAAAAAGAAGCAGGCCATTAATTTGAATTTTCCCACTAGCCCCCCATCATTCTCTAAATACTGCCGCCCCACTCGGCAGGCTTCTCTGCAACCGTCTGGATTCCAGCTCTCAAGGCCAGCAGATACCTGCCATCTGCCCCAACATTTGCAGCAATAGATAAAACTACACATAAGGCGTCTGTTCTCTCAGACCATTATTAGCTGGATTTGGGCTAATATCCAGCTTACCCTTACTCACTACTTCAGAGATGATACAGAAGGAATCAGTAATATGAATGTTACACCTTCAGATAATTCTCTCCCTGGTTCGAGTCCAATATTTGGTGTCCTCTAGGTACACTGTCATCATAAAATTTGATTAAAATGTCTGTATTTCAGATATCTATGCAATAGCTCTTGGAGTGGTAGAGATGGAAAGAGAACTTAACTCCTAACTCTTGGCATTTGACACCACCTTGGTCAATGAGACATAAGCATAAATCTGTTGCTGACTTCCTTTGGGGGATAGGGCTCAGAATTCTGACACAATATGAGGACGAGCCATGTTTAGCCCACATGGGCCACATGCTAGGAACCATGGTGCAGAAAGGCAGGACAGTTCTGGGTCCCTAATGGTGCTGTGACCCAGTACACTGTCCTCAGACTGTCTGCTCTGGACTTCCTGCTACAAGAGGCACCTCTGATTTGTTCCTGTCACTGTTTCTGTGATATGCTGCAGAGCACAGAACTGACACCTTTAATGACAACTTAGTCTCTCACGAAAGAGGGAGCCATGAAGGGGGACATATCTGGTGTGTGTCGACAGCAGCCACAATGTCAGCCAGTTGGCAGAGTTACGGGCCCAACAGGCCTCCAAACAGTTAAAATCCTGCTATTTTGCACGTAATTCTGAATAAAAAAGAAAAATAACTTTATAAGAAATGGGTTCTCTGAGGACTGGCCAACTAATTCTAGAAGCTTATCAGAGAAACAATTAAAGGGAGATACAACCTCATTAATGTTTAATGACCAATACACAGAAAGACAACTAGATCAAGGATGACAAAGGGATCACTGCACTCCACGCCTGGGCCCGCCACCAACACCACTGTCCGTTTCCCTCACTGCTATGTCCTTAGTACATGGAGCATCTGGCAGCAAACATTTATTAAAGGGTGGAATCACTGGATCAAAGGAGGCACAGAAGAATAAGCGAAGGCACAGATGAACACGTGGTCACAGCACTCCCTCCCACCAAGCTCAGACTGGGTCTCTGAACCTCCGCCCACAGGACTCCAGGTGTCTCCCACTAGACCCCTGAGACACTGAGACTGGTAGGAAAGCCACATATATTTGCCAGTTTAGGTCAAGACAAACTCTGTATAACTTTAGTGTATGAAAAAGAACAAAAAGAAAAGAAAACAGCAACCAGGATCTCTGGGAAGTACTCTGAAAAAAACATTTTGACTCATTATAAGGAAAAGCATAAAAACTTCTACAATTTTAATGCAGTCTTGACCCTCAAAGCCTAGAGCTTAGATTGTTTAAATTCCGAGCAAATAAGATAACATAAAACCAAACATTCAAATGACAATAAAGTTAAAAAATAATTAAGCACAAACACAATTCTTATAATAAAATAATATATAAAAAATTAATTTGAAATGTTGTCTAACCATACTTTAAGACTAATTTATAAGAGTGCTGACACTCTGGGAATTATAAATCCACTTTTGAAATAATAATAAGCTCATACTTCAAATAAGCCTAGAATTTAGTGGCTAAGCCATACAAAGTCACTAAGGTTTTAGGTTTTGACCTGATGTTTCGTGTTTTTAATAAATAAGGGAGGTCTCACTGAAGATGTGCCATCACAGAGAATCGAATTTTAAAACCATCCTGTGATTTCAAAGTATACGTACGCGTACACTCAAGTTATGTTTTCTCCCATGGCACTGTTACATGGAAGACACACACACACACAAATACACCTGCATTTTCAATGTGTGAGGTACATTAGCAAGCGACTTACCACGCAACTCTCACTGTAATCAGTCCTGTGAGGCAAAAGGAAGGCTAAGGCATCTAAACTGTCACACTGTGTTGGAGTCTGGGTTGTATTTTTACAACTTGTTAGCACAATGAAGAAGTGGGTTGGGATCAGAAGTTCTTGACTACGGATGAGTCTGCTGTTTCTGTAAAACATGACAATATTCACTTTAATAAAGAACTGTCTTCCTTTTCATGAATATTTCAGTAAAACATTTTTTCAAATATTACATCTAAAAATAACATTCAGTCAAATAATTAAGTGTGTTATAAAAACTCAGCAATTATAACAACTCAACTTATTCTGCCAGGTTGAGAGAAGAAGAATTAAAAGACAGACAAACTCAATCTAAATAACTTTTATTAGAAATTTGTGGAACTTGGAATTTTTAAAACTCTACCTTACCACACTGGAGTTGAGACACACTATTTTTGAATACCTATTAATAAGTCATTTAAATTCTATGTAGTATAGACATACAGTGGACGGAGAGAGAACTGGTTTGAATTTCTTTATTTCAGCTGCTTCAGAGAGGCCAGCTAGCTATGAAATTGTTTTAACTGGATTTTCTTTCCTATACGAATAACTTTATGCTTTTTAATTGAAGCGTATTCTCAAAGATATCCCAGTAACACCTTTGCCTCATTTTAATTCTATTTATTTCATCTCAAAGCTAGTTTTTTATTTCCCAGCATCTTTCAAAAGGTAAAGTAGTGGGATCCTTGTTTTCAAATACAATCTTATGTAGAACCATAATAATTAAAACAGAGAGCACGGGGTGAAGCAGTGAATGGGAAAGCTACGAAGTTGTTTTCTTTGCCCATTTTACTGCTATGGCTTATGAGGCAGTTACAGGGGACCCTTATACCTCAAGGGATATTAGTAAGAATTTTTAATTTTATAAACTAATGTGATTACAGATGTATTCGTGTAAACAGTAATCCCTAAGTCAGCCTGTGAGAGGCGTTCTCAGAAAAAGCTTAAATCTCAGCAGAGATTTCAGTCCCTTTTTCTCACAGCCTTACTAGAAAAATTGCTTCCAAAATCTGCCAAGTATCACTTTAATAAAGATCAACTTGTTTCCAAAATGTTCTCACCTCGCCTTTATAAAAACAGGTTTTCTCAAGACAGTCACTGGACAGTTACCTTCCAGCCAGAGTAGGGGAAAAGCTGGGACATTCGCCCCAGGCTTACAAGCTCTATAACCCTGTTGATTCCTCAACTCAAGATGCTTCTAGCTACACCATGTGGTTCTTCATCTTCTAATTAGTAGTATGTTAATTAAGATAGAACCTTAGTCACTCATAGAGATTTTAAACACTGATGTTACCTTCTTAACAATAACTCAGCAGCTCAGTATTTAATCTGAGCTCTAGTTACTCATCTGAGCTAAGTGGTGGAAGAACACTACTTCTTTCATCTAAAAATATTTTACCACACACTGAGCAAAACATTAAAATTAATCCCATATTTCAAGGGGTTTCCAGGATAATCAGAAATGTCACATACATAAATCTAAAAAGTATCGGATAGAAAAGGTTCTGCTGATTCATCTGAAAGGTGATCCCACTTGAGAGCTGTTGTTAAGAGTAAATGAAGTACATTCTTACTGCTTCACAGTCTCCAAGGCATCATAATGCCCATCGTAGTCCGAATCAAACACGGGACCGCTGACAACGTTGATGCCATTTCTTTCCTCGGCGTACCTTGGCAGCAGGGTGGCATGGACGTAGCGCCATATCGCTGAAACAAGAAGGAAGATGGTGCAGTTTCAAAACAAAAGGAGTCACGCTGTCATGTGAAACAAACCAACACCATGTGATTCAAAAGTAAGTATCTGGCAAATGTTGAATTCAACTCTATTACTGCCATTCCCAGAACCTGTGCATCACCATAAACTTTGGTCACATATTATTGTTAATTTTTTAAAAATCTTGAACAGAAACAAAGCAGGTTATGCACATTTATTGCTAATGTCTGAATATTCCCTTTGAAATAGTCACAAGGATTCTAGATGTAAATTAGAATAAAAATTTCCCTGCGTGCCCTGTATTTTAGAATTCCCTATGTCACTGAAGTATAAAAAGTACATTTATTCTTGTAAGAACCAAATGCTGCAATAATTAATAATAATAAACAATCTATTCATTTTAAGATTAAAAACATTATCAGGAACTTTATCTGTTCCAAAGAGCTGAACAAGGAACAGACTAAATGTTAGTGATAGTAGACTATGTTAGCTTGGTGACTTAAACACAATATTACATACTTTTTTCACCCAAAATGTTGATAAACATTTAAGGAGAGAGTAGAATAACAGGTATTGGTATATACTATAATTTTAATACTTATAGAATTTTTTTGTGTACTGGAATTCTTAAAGTCAAACAAACCAGTAAGAATGTATTTGATATTTAGCCATTTCATTTAAAACAGGTTTTATTACATATAAGTGATAGCTATAAAATATACATATATACACAGAAATTCATTAAAATTATAAGGCATAGGGTTAAATTTTTTTACCTTGAAAACTCTGGTACATTGGCACTATATTAGTAGTGAGCAATGCTTCAGAATACATTTTACTGGAACCTTTAGTTAGTTCTACAAAGAAATGAAAAGGACAACTATTTCATTCTTCACAAATAACATTAGAAATTATACTTTCTCCCATCCAAGTACTAACCAGGCCCAACCCTGCTTAGCTTCTGAGATCAGACGAGATCAGGAGTGTTCACAGTGGTACGGCCATAGACAGAAATAATACATTCTCATGGGGTGCATTTTAAAAAATAAGCTGAGTATCACCCTAAACCCATAAAACTTTCCCAGATATTGGTTCAAGGGAGAAATGCAATGTGTTTGTTCGAGTCCTTTAACAAAATAAAAATATTTGTATGTTTTCTTCTTCAAAATGAATTCACCAAAAGCAAAAAGACTGTAATAAGAAAGGTCCCGAATTAAACACTTTCAAATTTTACCTTATTTGTCTTATTTTAACTAAAGCATATTGTGTTGACAATCTTCTGTCCTTAAACTCTTTCAGTGAAAAGAAAAAACCAGTATCTGGCTTCAGAACAACACCTTCTACCCAGAAAAAACATCACAGGATGTCTGCCTGGAAATGCTGTACAAGGCTTCTTTGTACGGATTTTCAGCTTGGGTCTGGTCTATTTTTATAATGCAATAGCCAGGTTCTGACTTCAGACACTTTTTCCAAGGACTGGACTGGGTATTGAGGGTATTTGAGCAATGGGAACCTTCTGATTTTTGCCTTTTTAGGGTGACCTCAAAAAGTGTTCTCATTAGCACACAAATTTGCCACTTAAAAAAAATAGAACCTTTAACTTAAAAGAAGGTATTCTCTAGTGGCCATGAATTGGTGAGAGCAAGCATACTTAGGCTATACCTTTGGTTAGTTCTTTGACAAATTACATTTTTGTTTTAAATAACAAAATAGTATCTCCTTCTGAAGAACCCAGATGCATTTTTCTGACCTCACTGGGTTTTCTTAAATTCTGATTAAAAGACATGGAGAAGAGTGAATCGTGTCTTGTCTACAGTATCTGCACTGAATCAGCTACCCTTCAAACAAAAGGAAAAGTTTTGTAAACCTCAAGTTTTAGACCTCATGTTTAAGTTTCCCCTAATAATGACTTATTTAAGAAAAAGAAGAAAATCAAAGTATGAATATTAAAATGACAACAAATTTACAGCTATCAACAACTGAATCTAAAAAATAAAAACAAAAATTAAACTAAGCAAACACTCAGACAATCAAACAATCATAGGTATGGGGATCACATGGAGAGTTATAGGCAGGGAGGGGGATGGGGAAGAATGGGGGGAAAGGTGCAGGGATCAAGAAGCATAATTGGTAGGAACCAAATAGGGGGAGGTTAAGAATAGTGTAGGAAAGAAAGAAGCCAAAGAAACACATGACCCATGGACATGAACTAAGGGGATGGGAAGGATTGCTGGAGCAAAGTGGGGTGGTACCAGGCAGTAGGGGGCAAAGGGGAAAAAATTGGCACAACTGTAACAGCATCATCAATAGAAGAGATTTTTAAAAAATTAATTAAAAAAACTAAAAAACAATTTCCTCTAATAGTATATTTCTCACTCATAATTTTTATCAGCAAATAAATATGATGATTGACATTGCCCCATAAGAAAGAAAAGGAAGAAAAAGAGAATAAAGGAAAGGAAATAAGGGAAGGGGAAAAGCAGGGCGGAGGGAACTTACGTGGTGGGGAGAGGAACCCATAACTTATTTTTGCGTTGTTTTTATAAAATGAACACTTATGGACAGGACTAAAGGAAACCCGCGGATCCTCATAAAGGCAATTGAAAAAGTCTTCTCTGGAGAAACTATCCTGAAAAACAAAACAAAAAGCACCATCAGGTACAGGGGTTTAGAAGAAAAGGAGATCAGTCTGTACATGGTTGAAGGTGAACTACATCATAATATGACGGAGCTCTGACGGTCTGTTCATGTCCTTCATCATTTTTCCATTTTCTACTATTATAGTCATCTTTTTTATATCTGAAATGCACAACTCTTTACAATATTAAGGATATTAATCATTTGTCATATATATACAATATTTTCTTACTACATTGTGCTAATTTTGTTTATAATTTTTTTATTGATTTCAAACTTTTATATAGGGAATTGCTGCTTTTTAGAGATCTGAGACTCAACTGCACAAGCAAATGTTTGGGGTAGAAGGAGGGGGCAAATGCAAAAAGCTACTAAATCGCAATGTGGTGTGAAAACCTTAGGAGTAGTGATGACTCTGAATTTTTGCAGCTTTAGTTACACAGGAGAAGTGAAAATTTAAACAATGAAAACATCATATTTGAGGTATGAAACAATAATAAATCAGATAGGACTTACAAAACTGTGTAGAATGCTACAGAGTACAAACTCAAGTAAAAATTGTGAATATACACAACTTTTTTAAATTCAAGTTTAAGGTAGAAATTTTATGTAAATATATTAAGGTATGTGCATTATATATATGTTTTTACACAGATAAATTACATATATATATTATATATACATATACATATATATACACACACACATCCTTATCTTTTTATTTAGCAATCTCAGTGATACTAACATTTATTAACATTTGATATTAACATTTATGAGTAGGATTTATTATTAAATAAATAGTTTAAAAGTTCCATTCCAAGTAAGATCTAAATCTCATTGAATCCCTTTACTCTCTCTTTCAAGGGCAATCTCGTATCATTGCCCTTCATACTACAGCACCCAGGACCGAGGAATAATGGTGGTCTTACGCTGGGATATTTTCCCTCACTCCTCTCAAGGCCAAAATCCCCTGGTGTGGAGGGTGAACAGAATCCCCAGCCTCTCCCTGGCTGGGTCTGGGGGTCTTCCCGTGGATGCATGGCACATGCCATGAGACCACTGAGCTTTCCCCATCAGTGAGAATCTACAGAGAGTTGAAGGAAATCCCTGGGCTCACATACTATGTATTTAAAAGTGAATAACTGTGACTGACTGTAAAAATTATTTCATGAAATTATATGTTAAAATCTTACGATATTTAAATCAAAGGTAAGAGAGACATCTTTCCTACACATCCTTCCTTTCGTAGGACAAGTAGTACGCTCTGAGTTGCACAGCCACAAGCCTGTGAGTGCCCGAACCGGACCCTATTTTTTCTGACTCCCAGTTCAGTAACCTAATTTGGGATTAGCCATGAGAAACAACGCTCTCAATGATTTCTGCCTAATGATAATTTGACAATGGGGTGACAAATACTTGCATTTCTGTCCACAGTGTAGGAGGTCCAGAGGGGCATGTGGATGTTGGAGCGGTAGCCACTCACAAACCAGTGCTGGTAGAGGAGACAGACAGTGCTGTTCTTCTGGAGAACTCTGGGTCTCCCATAGGGTAAAGTGCTGCGCTTAACAACCTTCTCTTGGGTCACAGGAGGAAAACAAAAGCACCATTTAAGTGTACTCAGACCCTGCTGAAAAAATTTTTTCAACTCTAACAAAAACTAACTACAAAGAGCAGAACCATAAACAATTAAGGAAACAAAAGGGATTCACTGTACTTTTTGCCTGTGCAGATTATGAAAGAGCAATGTAATACAAAGATATCCCAATATACGTGAAACTGCTAGAAATCCCAGCAATTGGGATTTAAATTACATTACTAAAATTCTTTGATATTATTTCAATTACTTACTCTTCAGGATGTCTTTCCAGAAAGAAATTTTCTGGATGATACATGTACTTGGAAAGCAAAAGTGCAGAACTGAAATTATGGGATTAAACTGAATAGACCAATAATATTATATAGTGTTTATTGCCCTTTTCCAAGTGTCGGGTGCTTTGTAGGATTCTTTGTAGACATCATCTAGTTTAATTTTTAAATAGTCCTATGAATTAAGGTTATATGTCCATTTTACAGATGAGAAAGCAGTAGTTTATGGGAAGCAAATACTTTTTCTGTGAATACATAATTCCTAAACTCATCTTCGAATTTAGATCTGCCCAATTCTGCAAGTGACATTCTTTACCATGAGACTTTAACACCTTCGATCATCACAGATTTCTCCAACCTGAACATTTACAGAATTTTATAGACAAATTCAAGTAAAGAATAGGGCAGAATTCACCTTTTTATTCTGGCAGAAAAATACTGTAAGACAAGTAATTTAATCTACTGAAGACTCTGTCAAAGTCCATCAGAGACTGTATGGAAGAGTCACTGAACTCTCCAAGTCACAACTGACCAATTTCATCAGGTGTCTACATTTCTCGTTATTTTTCTTATTAGCAACAGATTTTATTGTTTAACTCTCTGCAAGCATTGCTATATTGAAAAAGTTTAATTTTGCACAAAATTCTACACTCAATATTTCCTAATCCCTTCACTCTTCCACATTTTATGAGACAAGTTTTAAACAGGTATTCTTTCAAAGTCTCAGTTATTTACTGAGCTGTGTGTTACAGGGCATATTCTTAATTTTCATTCAAAAGTAATGAAGAAATAATTTTTGATAAATAAATCAACTTACACTTTCTTATAATTAACTAAGAACCCAGTGAGATAGATATTTAACAGGTATCTTAAATGCAAATCAACCCTGGCTGGTGTGGCTCACTGGACTGAGCATGCGCCTGTAAACCAAAACATCACAGGTTTGATTCCCAGTCAGGGCACATGCCTGGGTTGTAGGCCAGGCCCCCAGTTGGGGGTGTGCCAGAGGCAACCAGTCAATGTATCTCTCACACACTGATGTTTCTATGCCTTACTTTCTCCCTCCCTTCCCATCTGTCTAAAATAAATAAATAAAATCTTTTTTAAAAAATGGAAATCAGAAGATTTATTACAAACCTTATAAACCTAACAAAAATCTTCAAAATCTCAAAACAGCCTCCATTAAATACATTGCATGCTATTTCCACTGTCAATCCCCCTTTCCTTATGAATAACGGTATGGACTGCCAAGCAAAGAGGTCTCTAGGCTTCATCAGGTGGTCCTCCACTACTCCCTTTATTTTACTGACTATTCTCAAAAATGCCTCCAAACCAATTCTCTGTGATGCACACTACTGAGAAAAAGCCTACTTCCACAGTCCAAGTTCAAGAATAAACATGCCTTACCTTCTGTCACAGTCAGATTCAATTGTGTCTTAAAGTCCATGACTTGAAAAATCTAAACAATTAATAATATTATTTTTAAGGAATCACAGACATGTTTTATTTTTGTAACAAACAACTTTTATAGCTAAATTATCCCACTGTAGACAAAGATAAAATTTGAAACCATTCTGTACAAGTCAAATTATTTTTCTGATAAAGAGTAAAAGGGTAGGGATGACAGTTATAAATATACAAAATTATTAGCATAAACACACTATTTATGAAAATAAGAATATGATTGCCACTTTAAAATTCTGATCTCTAGTCTTCAGCCTTTCTAAAAGTCTAAAACAAGGGCAAGACCATAAACTCAGCTTCTCCCCAAGTTCTTATCTTTAGGCACCCCATCAATTTTGTTCATGACCTGTCACATATTCTCATCCTTTCACAACTACTGTATATATTAAGGTTGGAGAAAAATGGAACAGTGCCACATATCCATTTTGTACCGAAAGGTGGTATTTTCCCCCTAAATTGAAAATAGGTGGGGTTGTACTTCGGAGAAGGGATATTGTTCCTGGTTTATAATCAAGAACTCACTGCTGGGAGAACAGGGCTCAGCTTAACTTCTCCCAACCTGCAAGTCAAGTCGCAGGACCCAGGGATAAAAAAGAGAGGCAAAAATGCAAAAACAAGGTAGAGGAAAAAGAAATAATGAAAGGCCTGTGTGTATCACTAGAATTAAAAATAAATCTGATTGTTACTCTTGCTCATCAACTTGAATTAGACCCTCAAGTATTCCCACAGCGCAGCAAGTGCCATGAAAACAACCCCCCTCCCTGGCTCAGCCTCTCAGCGGCCCTCACCGAGGGGTCACAGGAGCAGCCGAGGTTCTCTCTGGGGGTCCTTGTGACGGGGCACTGTACCAGAGGCCGAGCTTCTTTGGGGTGCTTCGGGGTGTAAATGGGATTCTTGAGAAGGTGGTTAAGACTTCCATGAGTTCCATTATTAGGAGCAGGTGTCAAATTCAGTAAATCTGCATGATTCCAAGAAAAGTCAAGATTTACTTAAAAGTTTCAAAATCAACTAAATACTAGACTTGTACTATGATTCTTATTTTTCAAAACCAAATCTATATGAATCCTTAACTCTTTGGGGTTTTACAGTATTTATAACAATGCTATTGCTAATGGAAATACTGACATATATGCTCTATTCTCTATAAAAATATCTGAACTTTAATGTGCATAATAACTATAGTTAGCATATGTTGAATGCTTACTAGATGACTATTGCTGTGCTTATATGTCTTTCTTACTTAATTCTTCAAACAATTTAATAGGTTATTGCCAGTATTTGGTAGATGAGTAATCACAGCACTGTGCTCAAGGTCCAAAACCTACTAACATAATAGACCTAGTATTCAAAACTAGCTTTGTCCACATTGAAGATTCATGCCTTTAATAATAATAACAATAATAATAATAATAGCAAACACATATAGTAAAGCATTTACTCTATGCCAGGCCCTGCTTTAGGGTCTATAAACTCACTTATGTATATCAGCTCCCATTAAAAGAATTATCCTTAGGATACATTTAAGGTTTGCAAATGCCCAGTATCATTATCAGAAAAAGGAAGTGATATTCGGGATATAATACCCTACACCCGTAAAGTACTAATTAAGAAAGTACAGAGTAAACCAAGAATGGGTCGCCTTCATTTTCACAAACTTGACATTGCCATCTATTAAGGCTACCAGAAGTTCCACTTGTTTTGTCTCCCTTTCAGAGCCCCCAAACTCTTTTCTCTGGCTTCCACCACTGATCTGATTCAATGGTCATATAATTAAGCCCTGGGGCCTGTCAAAGTACTAGGCATTGGGGATGTACACACCTCTTCACTCTGGGTGTTGTACTTTACCAGGGTGCAGCCTAGTGGAAGAATCAGATAAGTAATCAGATGGAATGTTCGGCACATTTTTTCAATGACTCTGGTTCAGGAAGAAAAAAGGTGAAAATGTAAGCGTCTGTCTTGCCTCATCATCATTTCCACAAGGTACCCATCAAGTGACCTAATTTTGATCATTCTATTCCAGCTCTGTTTCCAGAAGATATAAAAGCTCCCTACTCACACTTACCACACATTAAGTTATAGACTTCGATATTTTCAAAGGAATCAACTTCAATGCCATGCTTGAATCCAGGTCCATAGCCAATAAAGAGAGCCTAGGTTGACCAGAAAAGTAGCAGTTTATAAATTCCTGTTATGTATGTAGTCGGCCAAATATAAAGCACAGCACAGGGAATATAGTCAATAATATTGTAATAACTATGTATGGTGCCAAGTGCCAATAAGTAGACTTTTTGGGAAATCATGTCATAAGTTATGTAAATGTCTAACTGCTATGCTGTACACCTGAAACTAACTAATATTGAATGTAGACTGTAATTTAAAAAATAAAAAATTTAAAAGTTATCTTATCTTCTACATTGTACATGTATAAACTGATTATGTTAAGAGAAAAAAAGACTATGCCCAACAAATTTTGTGGAATTTTTTAAACCCCTATTGCACAAATATCTGAGGACACCTAGGATATTTCTCTTAGCTTTACTATAATTCCTGACTTGACATTCAGAACAGAATTACAATGATATCTATATTCATCTATGAATAGGAATATAAACCTCACCATGCCCACCTCACACAGTGTTGCAGGGATCAAATTAGATAATTATTGTGAGTATATTTAAATTTTTTTAGCCCTGGCTGGTGTGGCTCAGTGGATTAAGCACTGGCCTGAGAACCAAAAGGTCACTGGTTCAATTCCCAGTCAGGGCACATGCCTGAGTTACAGGCCAGGTCCCCAGTTGGGGGCATGTGAGAGGCAACCATTGCTGTTTATCTCCCTTTCTGCTTTCCTTTCCCTCTCTCTACAAAAAGAAATAAATATATTTTTTAAAGTTTTAAAAGAAAGGTAAATTTAAAGTATTATCTTCATTTAGAACTAAGTATATCTTTTTAAATATTAACAAATTGTCTTTCATGTACTATGGAGTAATATATATTCTTAATGGAGTATATAGTATGTACAAAATAATTATTGGAAATTTAGTGGGAGGTACATGTCACATATTCATGAAATATGAATATAAATTTTAACACAATTGTATTATTTTAATCAATACCCAAAAGAAAACAGCTATATGAAAGTGTATGTTTCATTACTTCTTATTCAAGACATATAATGGCTTTTTTTCCATGTAAAAGTTTATATATCACTTTTTCTTCAGATATAGGTATTATTTTTAAAAACTATAATAGGTTTACTCACTTGCATACTTGAAAATATGTTGTCAGAGCCGTGAAATCCACTTCCACAGTATTTCCTTTCTGAAGGATTCCTAATTTTTACATAATATAAATTAATAAAAAGTCCATTCATAAAGCAACTTGGGCAACCATGCATTATTTTCACTAATAAAGAACACGTAACTGCTGTTAAACAGACCGAGAAAAAGGCAAATAAAATAATGCAATAATAATCACTTGGCTTTCAAAAGTATTAAGAAGCCACCTTTCTTTTTTATTTTTTAGACAAATTAACCGTAACATGGTATAGAGGGAGAAAAACCCAAATGCTATCACTGAGACAGAACTGGTTTTGAACCCCGATTGTGACAGTAATTAGCTTTGACTTTAGAAATTCAATTTTCTTTTCTTGGTTTCAATTTTGTCATGTTGGGTTGTTCACAAAATTTACATGGTTTAACCTCAAGACATGCTGGAAACACAGATGTTCACTAAATATTAGTTTCCCCCTGCGGGTAACAACAATCGTCTCGTATTTCCCAGCACCAAAAACCCAGCTCTCTAATAAGGCAGTGTGAATCTGTCGACTAAATCTGGTTCACTGCTTAGGGTTGTTACAACTATAAAAAGGGTACTTTTGCATCTCGTGAGTAGAAGCCAGGAACGCTGTCAAACATTCCACAATACACAAGACAGCTCCCCACGATGAAGAATTATCTAACACAAAATGTGGAGATGCCAAGGTTGAGAAGACCCAGGATAGAGTGCAGGGAATCATATTTGTACAGTGTTCATATAACAACATTGTTGCAAAGGACTCAAAGGTGACTTTGAATTACTAGTAGGTAAGGCTACGTTTACCTGGGAGGTTGTCAGAACTTACAATGCAAGTTGCCACTGAGGGTCCAAATAGAATGTCAAGGGCTCAATCCTATCACTTATAGCAAAATGCAATCGTTTGGGTAAGAACTGCTTTAGGTAAGGTTTGAAGTGCTGGTTTGGCTCCCGGCACTGAAATTGCAGGAGGCAAAGGAAAAACATTACTTGCCTGGCTTCTTAAGTGCAAACTTCTTTCAAAAGTACATTGTAACTCCATATGAATATTTTTCTCACAAACACTTTACCAACATGCCGAACAAATCACACATGGAAAAACACCTGAGTTCTTACTACTAACATAATGTACAAGTAGAATACTCCCAGCCATTGAATATTCTTATTTTTACATGAAGTCACAATCACTGCACAGCTATCCCAGGATGCTTCAAGTGTGTCTTGAGATTATATTTGAGGTGCTACCGATGATGTTATTTTCAAACACTTGTGCAACTACAATTATAAAAATTTTCTCCAAAAATGAAAATGTTCTATCAAGTAAAAAATATGTAATACAGATAGCTCAGTACTAGGACAAAAGCTTATTTAAAAAAAACAGGCATTAAAAAAGACTGATAAAAATATATCCTGGTGCTAATAGTGTTTAGGGTGGAACAGCTATAGGGTGTTTTCGGTCTGCTTTCAATAACTTCTTGTACTGCCACATACATTTAACAACGTATATACACAAATTCTTAAAAACTTTCACACCCAGATCATTGGGACAGGACCTTCAAGTTCTTTAAAAACTATAGAATCTTTAAATGTTGGCCCAGATACTCAAGAATTCTAATTCTATAATGCCAAGAACAAACACTGAAACTTTCCTAAATATGCAAGTATATTATACGAAACAGGCAGTAATTAGATAATAGAAAATCAAAGATACTCACAGAAAGATTTCTGGCAATGCCTTCATAATTAACTGAAGGGGGTAAAGATAAAAAATAATAGTTGATGGTATGCTAGAATTAGATATAAAAATAAGACAAAAATATAAACTGTCAGGCTCAAACCATATATTTAAATACCAAAGCAGGTTTCGAACAGCTCATTTAAATCTTTATATATTAGCCACTGACAGGAATAAGACAGATGTTTAGGAACCCTCACCCAAAGTCTGTGAAATAATGTCCTATCATTAAATGAAAAAGCAAGTTACAGAACATCTGCCTATCCATCTGTCTGTCCATTGTTTGTCTGTATCTGACCATCTATCCAACTACCTGTACAACCATCTATCCATCCTTTCATCTGTCTGCCCATCTGCCCAAATACTCATACATCCATGTATCTAGATCTAGTATGATTCCATTGTGTAAAAATAAAAATGAATGTGTTTTATTTACATATAGAAAACATCCAAGGAGAGACATTCCAAACTTAACAGTGCTCATCTCTAAAGAGAGAAACTGAGTTGTGAATTAGGGGAGTTTAGGGTGGGAACCTGCTATTTGGTACTTTATAATACTTTCATATTCACCGGTAATTCCCGAATTTCAAGATAAGAAATCAGTTCCCTGTATCCCTGCAGGGGACTGAGAGGAGAGGACAAGCAGAGTGGTTTTGGGGCTGCATTTGCATAGCCAGCTCACGGTCACCTTCTCAGTGTGCCTTGTGTCAGGCTTCACAGACGCTGGAGAAAATTATCCGGATAAAAGAATAGGTACTGTACATATATCTTTATGTATGCATGTAGATAAGTAAATACAGATATAGAGTTTGCTTTAATCTGGGAAACTTGGGGGCCTGAGCTAAGGGTATGGCGGAGCCCAGCCATCCCCTAAATATTTCTGGGCCCTGCTATTGCCTCTATAGTTGTAATAAGAGGTTTAATACGTATTATGTATTAACTTTCATGTATTTAAAAAAATACCATATTTTGCGATATATAATGCACACTTTTTTGCCCAAATTTTTGAGGGGGAAATAAGGATGATTTTTATACATGGGTAGTACTAATTCCATATCTATATAAATGATTTTAATTCTTTTACTGGTGCTTATGTGTTAAAAGTGCAACTCTAAAAAGAAATAATAATATCTGTATGCAAAACACAATAATACAAAAACAAGTATCTAAATATAAGTAAATAAATAACTGAATTAAAAAATTAAGACAAAATATTCTTTTCCTGAAAGTTTGGGCCAAAAGTGGGGGTATGCATTATCTACAGGAGTGCATTATACACGGAAAAATATGGTACTAATTAACAATTGTCATGCAGATAGAGTTTGGGTTCTTATGTTAATAAATTTGCATGACCATTTTCCTGCAGCAAAGTCTATTTTTTCTTTAAGAATATTCAACAGTATCTTCTATTCAACAGAAACACATAGCACTGCGGTGCCCAAACCTAACCCAGTTTTGGTACCTAACCCAGTTTTGGTAACTGTCAGAAAAGCTTTGTCTCCTATTTTGAAAGTTAATTTGTAACAAAAAGATAAACAAAATTGCCCTAAGTATCTGAAAGTTACCAAGAATGGTAATCAAAAAGAGGGGTATACATATAAATTCTTAAAGATTATCTTCTAATTTTAGAAAAATGGATAAAAATTTTCCTATCTGTAATAGTAAGATTGTATGACTTGTACAAACAAACAGAAAAAGAGTGGGTACAAAACAGGTGCGAACAATTATGAAATAAGTTTGACTTGCAAATAAAGTCCTGGCAGTTCTGGCGGTCAAGAGAGAATAGGAAATCTCTTCTTCTCTGTTTCCAAATACATTCTTATTTCTTTTTGAAATGGCTTAAGAATCCCACTTTTGAGGACAGAAATCAGTTGCTTATGGAATTAATCATCTCTGCCAGCATTCCTCCTCATAATAGAATATTATTCTATAACCTTGGTAAGTTATTTTAACTGAATGTTACTAACTACAGTTGAATAAATGTAGCTGAACTTTTAAGGGTTTTTTTTTTGTACAAGTAAAACCTAATATAAGAAAAGCACACAATATAACAAAAAGATGTACTAGCTCCTTGAATGATATTCTAAGCCATGAATACCGTACAGATAAAGGGTTAGACATGTCCTAACATCCAGTCCCTTTGGGTGCAAAAGATCTGCACTGGAGGTATTTAATCATGAAAAGGAAATGAACTTTAATGCTTCCCTTTAGTTTAGGCATATAATGATTTAGAGGAATATATTCTGAATAGAACCATATCCAAAGTTAGCAAGGAGCTATACTTACATGAATAGTATTTGTCTGGAACATCAGTGGGTCTCAGTCGAGCTGCAGGTCCATATACAACTTTAATATTTTTAACATCCCCCAGATATTTATTCAGGTATATATATTTCTTACAGCTGCCTTGTTCCATGCCTAGGTTTAAAAAAATCCCAAACATGTTGCAACTTTAATAAAAAATGTAACACGTAGAACACAACTTCTTTTACTTCCAGAATTCAATTCAATAAATGTGCTCAGTGCTTATGCTAGTTAAATATCCAACAGGTAAGACAGAATTTCAGCTGTATCTACCACTTCACCTTTAAAAAAAATCTTTTCTTTTTCTCTTATCCAAAATTAGTTTACTCTCTTATTTATGTATTATATATAATATCTTTATGCAAGTGAGGAGTGATACCACATTTCTAGACTAAATATGAAAGCCTAGTGATGTTCCCAAAAATCACCTAGGATATTAACTGGGAGTATAAAATTCTTATTCTCATTCCAAGACTAGAGTTTCTGTAGGATATGACTTTTAGGACTGTTTCTAGAAATAATTTTCAGTAATTAATTCTGAAGCTATGAACAATAACAAGAAAAAACAGCAAAAAGAACTTGTTTTCTATTTTTTGTATACATATCACATTTATAGTCCCAAGGCTATAAAAAAGCATATGTTATAAAAATCACAGCAAAAGCAAAACTAAAATATTGCCAAAATTAACATATACTGCCTGAGTAGGACTTATCATGCTAAAAAAATATAGAAAAGGCACACAATAATTTGTTCAAATTAAATTTAAAATTGTTCGAGTGGATTTACCAAAATTTAATAATGAAAAAAAGTTTATAACTATTTCAATTCCTGGTGAAAACCTTCCCCAAATCAGGAGATAGGTGCATTTTGATTGATAGGCTTTAGATTTCTATAAATTGTTTCATTTGTACTTTATATTTAATATATTTTCCTAAAGACTTTCCACAAGACACTATGTTTTAAAAAATCAACTATAACAATCAGGATATAAAGAAGCAATAATTGACTGATCAAGTAAATTTGGGTAGGGTGGGGCACTATTTAACTTGACAGGTAAAAGATGCAAATTCAGATTACCATGATCTGAAATGAGGATGAGGTTCAGACATCGATGCAAATTCAGCTCTTTTAGACCATCCATCAGCATGCCAACCATGTTGTCAACCCTCTGCAATGCTTTGATTACCTAAGAAAGAGAACCCATCTTACATGATATATTACACAGAAATGGCTATTCCTATATAAAGCTATCTCTGTGGAAAGAAGGAAGGAATGAGGGAAGGAAGGAAGAGAGGAAAAGAAAGAAAAGAAAAGAAAAGAAAAGAAAAGAAAAGAAAAGAAAAGAAAAGAAAAGAAAAGAAAAGAAAAGAAAAGAAAAGAAAAGAAAAGAAAAGAAAAGAAGGAAGGAAGGAAGGAAGGAAGGAAGGAAGGAAGGAAGGAAGGAAGGAAGGAAGGAAGGAAGAAAAGAAGAAAGAAGAGGGAGGGAGGGAGGAGGAAAGAGAGAGAAAGAAAGGGAGAGAGGGAGAGCAAGAGGGAGGGAGGGAGGGAGGAAAGGAGGAAGGAAGGAAGGAAGGAAGGAAGGAAGGAAGGAAGGAAGGAAGGAAGGGAGGAAGGGAGGGAGGAGGGAGGGAGGGAGGGAGGGAGGGAGGGAGGAAGGAAGGAAGGAAGGAAGGAAGGAAGGAAGGAAGGAAGGAAGGAAAAGAAAGAAAAAAGGAGGGGGGAGAAAGGAAAGAAGGGAAGAGGAGGGGAGGGCAGGGGAGGGAGGGGAGGAGGGGAGGGAGGGGAGGGGAGGGAGGGGAGGGAGGGGAGGGGAGGGGAGGGGAGGGAAGGGAAGGGGAGGGGAGGGAAGGGAAGGGAAGGGAAGGGAAGGGAAGGGAAGGGAAGGGAAGGGAAGGGAAGGGAGGGGGTTCAGCAGATGCAAATACTATGATGAACTGATTCACATTAGCCTAAGACAAGTCAGGTAACACAGAAAAGGCATGAAATAACTGCTGACCATTAACAGTAGAAGGGTCCAAATTCCATGTGCTTAATCATAAGTCTTGGAAATGGCATTACCTGAACTGATCGGCTCTCCCCTCAAGTTCAGAATGTCACTCCTTAGACCAGACTCAATTTAGGTCAAAGTGATACTAACCCAAATTCATAGTTTTGGCCAAAAACAAATGTATCCTAATTATTACTTGATTTTCTACAACCAATTTCTCTTTTTTCTTTCTGATTATTTAAATATTTACTGCATAAATGCAACGTTTCATCATTTTCAAAAATGTTAAAATTATTCATGAAATGCTTCTATATACTTAATTTTTAAAATGAGAACTCCTAGGAACACAATACATTATTTCCTTCTAAACTAGATGTATTTTGCATACGAATACCACAAGAACGGGCCAATGGTTTTGGTAAACTGCTTTTAGTGTTTCTCCTTTCCTCTCTTTTTACAAAACCACCTGAGTAAAACTTATGTTTGAAATCAGCCTAATCTTTTATAGTCAGTGTATTTTACTGTTTTTCGAAACAAGCTCTTTCAATACACTCTTTCATTCACTCAAAGTTATCTAAGCAAAGTGAGTTGGAATTTTCAAGTATTAAGATAAAACATGTTTTGATGTGGCAGTAATAGTTGAGTTAAAGAGAGTTTACAAGTTGATAAAGATAATTCAAAAACAGTGGGCTCAACCTTGAACAAAGATGAATTAGAAAAGCCAGTAACTTGCAAAATCTTCCGTGAATTGTAAAAGGCAGCACTGATTTAAAAGCGTGTGTGATCTGCAATTACGAAATAATCCTTAGACTTCCTCATAGTCAAACTAACCTAGACACAGGTCTTAGGTGTCAGTTAATTAGTGAAAATTACACTAGCGTCTGGCCAAGCGTTCAAACTAGAACAACAGCTACGAGAAACTGTTCCGTTTGACCAGTTATGATATTGCCACGTTGTTGCCCACACATCTTCCTTATCCCTCCTCTAAGGAACATTGCTGCTTAGTTCAAGAACAGGATCACGGCAAGAGCACATGGGGTTACTAGCTGCACTGGAGCTGCCAGAGATGAATTTTGCTGGAAAAAATACAAAGGGTAAATACAGCCCAATGAGGGTCACCTTTCCTGTCTCCTCGCTTTTTTATCTGATGAGAAGGCCGCCAACAGGAAGCTACTCTGTAACAAGGCAAATCTAGGGTAGACCCAGGGGAAGGGAAACCAGGGGAAGATGGTTTAGGCAGATGCTTTACGTTCAAGTGAGACGTATGAGCATGTTTTTTCTCTCTTCCTTCTGCTGCTTCTAAAGTAAGCACTTAGAGCACATAGCACCCTCAAACCCAGGGCCCATGACAGACAAGACAGGCCCAACCTTAGGAACCCTACACTAAAGAGTCCTTGAGGTGTACAAACCCTCCAGTCTGGGCTACCTGGGCAGAACTGATGAGAATTTGGGAGTGAAACTCTAGTTAATAAGAAAGTGTGTGTTTATGTCTTAGAATCACAGAGGCAAAGGATAATTAGACAAACATTCTGAGATTAGGGATCCTGCCAATATATTCCTCTTCCAACACAACCAACAATATTTACAAGTCCTTACGTATTATTACTTTTCATACTGTACATCACAGATAAAATGTGAATCATAAGGGAAGGCAACTTAGAGGCATTAGGAAAGGAGTTCATATCACTTGCTGTTCAAATGTTTCCTGTGCTCCATGGTACCAAATGACGTGGCCACTTGGAAACAGACGGCAGCATTTGAGGTTTTAGAGCACCGGACCACTTACGTACGAACATAGGACTGGGCTCAGTCCCTAAAAGGGTGTCAGGTCACACAGGATGTTACACCGAGGGCCTTAGACCACGAGCAGTGTCCCTACCCCTCATTTCCTTGTAACCACTCAGTAAAACAGTGATTATTTCAAGTTCTCTATACTTTCGATAAAATCGTCGATCCTTTGATGCTCGAGCCGGTTGTAAGCACGGGCTCGGATGGTTGGAGATGCATTTCCTGAGGTGGAGAGTTCACAGGAGGCTTCTTCTGTTGTCTGACACACTATCCCACGTCTTCCCAGAAAACCAGAGTCTCATCCAATTACAAAATTTTCAAAGAGCACTTAGTTTTTAGGGCCATGTAGGGGGATATGAAGTGGATGAAGGGTTTGGAATTGAAAATATTGGGTTTAAGTCATCATCAGTTCAGTTCAGCACTGTAAAAATATAACAAGACTAATTCTCTCAACTCTTACTTTGATTAAAGTACATTCTTTCTTTGGTTTAGTAAAACTCACTCTTGAGTACTGGACTTAATACTCACTCTTTCCAGAAACCATAAAATCTTACAAAACTGTCTAGAAACCTGCTTCGAATCAAGGTGCAGTAGCTGTTACCAGGTTTAATGAGGTACCCACTGATAAAATGTACTTACTTCACTGCTGACTGGTCCATAGGCATGACCTGAAGAATCTGGTTCTTCTAAATACAGAGTGTAAAAGTGTGGTCTAAATCAAACAGTATCAAAATGTAATATTTTATGAACACATTATAAAACAGAATGGAAAGAATAATTCAACAAACCATAGTGAACAAAAATTATACAACACTGGGGCAACATTTCTAAACTGGTTGAGGAAATAACTTACAGGTTTCAAATTCCTCAAAATGCAACTGTAATAGCTTGCTAAAGAGTTTGTTTGGACATAAAATCTCAGAGCCAATATACCAAGTTTTCCTGTAGACTATTTTAAAATATTGTGTAACTTCTATAAAACAAAGGAGAATTCACAATACATACCTTTCATCCTTCGGAAGCTGTAGCCATTTAAGAACAGCTAAAATTCTTTCTTCAAATGGTACTGAACTAAAGTTAAAAATAAACCAAATGAAACAAATCTGTGACAATTTTTAGGTATAAAATATAATATTTTTCTTTAAAATATTACATTAAGAAAAACTAAAATAATCTAATGCATCAGTTGTGTGTCTGAAGCCACATAAGAGCTTTATTTGGAAACTCCTGTTCGTTTTCCCAATGAAGGAACAGAAGTTAGGTTTTGCACATGTGAAAGTTGTCCTTGGACTTCAGAGTTTGCTTCCTGCCCTCCACCTGAGGATGTTTTTCCTGTACCTGGGGGAGCAATTGCTACCATGAGAAAAACCCGTATGTCAACACACTCTTCAAAGGGCACCTCATGAAGAACCTGCTTATTAAAGACTTAGACAAAGTGGGAAGTGGGCAACATTTCCTCAGCAGAGGAATTTATTACACCTTCCTCTGGGCACGAGATTTTGTTCACGAAACTCCGCCAGAGTGAGTGCTTGCCCAAGCCCAAGTACGATTAGTTGGGTTCTCTGTTAGACTGTGAGAAGCCAGAGAATATCCAGCACTAATCCTTGGATCCTCCATCATGTCTACTATAAAGCACGGCAATTAAATCTCAATTACAATCCAGGGAATGAAAATAAAGGCAATTAATAGGGTGGGGGGAGGCACCACACTGTGCTCAAGTGAACCATAAAGAATTAGCAGTTGCATAAGATCACCAAAAAAACCACTATGCATTTTGTGTCTAGAATTTACTTTCTATTGTATTGATTTTGTGACAGAAATTTCCTAAGTGTAAAATTTTTACAAAATTATTTTTGTAGTCTCACTAAAATCACCCAAAGGGAGTCTTCCCCCCAACAAAGTTTGCTCTGTTTTTCTCTCAGTACATCATGGATTTTTAATATCACCGGGAAGTTATTCTAATTAGTTTCTCACATTAGATGGCATATTTATGGGACTAATTTGGAAATACAAATCCAGAGATGTCATCACTGTCTTCTTTTAGATAATATTTCCAGACACCAGAGTCTTTCCTACCTGCATCCTCTTTAACGCTTTCACCTCCCACTCCCAGTCCTTCCCCCTGGAGTTCAAGTGGCCTGGGCCTCCACTCTGACACCCTGACTGCTTTTCCTGCTCCTGCCCAAAGATCCAGCTGCAAGCCCAACAGGATACCACTGCTTTCTAGAAAAGCTCTAGAAAAATAACTTGTTCTACTATACCATTCATCTTAAAACTCTTTGAAATAGACTCTTGACTTTGATAGTTCTCACTTTGCAGCCAACATATACTCAATATATTTTGGACTGGAAAAAAAGGAGGTGCTGAGATGAAAATAATCTGTTCTATGGGTGCTGGAAAAAGTATATCTATACATACCCATTATATATGTTATAGATGTCTGGGAACATCCCTTTAATTTCCACATCTGAGCCTGGCCAAAAATACGTGCCAGTCTTCAGACCTTGATATCTAGCTGTGAGCCAAATCTGAAAAAGATAACAAAGGAAAGTTAGAAAACTATGCAAATGCTCGTCTCTTAGGAAAGTGTATGTTCATGCAACACCAATGCATTCTTCTCAAGTGCTAGGAAGTTTTTAAGGTTAATAAGATCCAGCAGCAATATTAAATAATAATCATATAGTGTGACTGAACAGCAGCAAAAATAAAGCAAAGGATTAGAGATTATTTTAACCTAAAAAATATGGACATAAGTCACTTGGCAACTACTGCGTTTTTTAGAGCTATCTACCTACTTAATAGGTTCCCCATGAAAAAAAGAAAAATTCACAAATATACATGTCCAATTTATTGATATTTGAACTTAAATAACTAATATGTATTAAGCATTTTTATTGAAATTACAACTCTAAATAGTAGTCCTATGAGCATCCTACAGTATTAATTTAAGTACTCCTCAAATAAGCCTATGAAGTACGAACACTATTACCCACAGCAGAGACATGACAAAACTAAGGGACAGAAAAAGTTTGCATAAAGTCACAGAGCTTTAAATGTCAAAGCTACAATTTTAACTTATAACCTGCAAATTAAACATCATGCTCTTTTTTCTTCTGAAAGAATTAACACTATTCAAACAGATCCTACAGAATTATGGTTAGAATTTTAAAAATAAAAAGGATATATCTAAATCACAGAATCTTCTAAATTAGCATATGCACAAGAAGTCAAAGTTTGCCTCCTTCAGAAACAACTGCCTTTGTATAGGTGAACATAGTACATTCACCCACTGCCATATACTACTAGTGCAAGAAGGCAGAATCCAGCTGAGAGAAAAATGGTTCAGAATAACCCAAAGCCAGCTCTGAAATAAACGACTCCTCTCGTTATACAACAATACAAACTGACTTTAGGATTATCAACATTCATCTCCATTTACAAAAGGATGGCCATAAACACAGCAAATGAAGTAGGTTAATAAGAGCACTGGGGAATCTGGTATTTTACTGTGATTGAAACAGATGAGAATAGTAAAAGAAAGTCTTTTAGTAGCTAAAACAAACGAACAACTTACTGGTTCTCCTTTGTACCACTCAGGATTAAATTTCTCTTTACTTTTAAGGGCAAAGGAAGCATTCATTTTTGGATCATACATTTTATTGTCAATTATGCCATGGGATTCTGGATAAAGACCCTAAAAATATAAAATACAGGTTTTATGCAAGTTTTAAGTGTTTTAATGTTAAAATCACAATTTTATCAAAGAGAAACACGTTTCTGAAGCTACAAGGAACTTAACACAGTTTAGGGAGGAAAAAACAAAACCATGGGTATTGTCAAAAAACACAATAAACCACTCAAAATTTTATGTAGTATTTGTGTTTCAAGTTATATAGAAGATAATAAGATGGCAATGCTGTGGGTGAAGGTTCATGTAAGGAGGCAGCCTCCCAAATTTCAAGAAAACGACTCTTTCTGCATTCCCGAGGGAAGCATTTCTGTAGAACAAACTTTTTTTGGTTGGGTCCAACAATGGTTTATATCAATCAATACAAGCTAAATTATTAATTTTCTGGCTTTAAGGCCAAATGAATGCCACTTTTATTTCTCTGGATTCAAATTAAATCTGGAAACTTTGCAGCCAAAACAGGGCTGTAATTCTATCAGAGTGAGGCAGAGTGACTTGCTCGAACTCACACATCTACATGACTGGAAAGACAAGCTGGGAACACAGGAGTGTGATCATTTAGGGCTCAAATAACATAACCTACAAAACTAGTAGGAAAAGACAGAATATAAAACTTGTAGATCTTAAAACTAAAAGGAAACCAAGAAAACATTTATTGAGGTCATTAGTCACCTCCTTGCACAGATGAGGAAATTGAGACTCAGAAGGTCAAGTGTGACCTTCCAAGGCCATAGCTAGTTGGAAGGAGAGCAAACTCCAGAATCTAGGTTTCTTGGCTTACCCATACAATGGGAAAGAAGTTACTTTTTTTCCTGATCTGATATACAATTAATCCCTCAAACAATCCTACATTTACATCTGACTTCTGTGAACATGTAAAGGTTGAAATGCGGAGCTTACTGTGACAATGCTGTAGTGATTGGGGAAAGTTTTTGTGGGGTACACTGGTCTCATGTTTTTAGCATATGCTCCACAGTTTTCTACAAAGGAAAAATATTAAAGATTAATATTTAATATTAAATATTAAAGATTGTTATTAAATACAACTGACTATCTGTTTACCTCATTTAGCTTTGCTGACACAGCAGTTTAAATCATATGAAAAATAATGCGGGAGGAGTTTGTAATCACATAAATTCCGGGGGATTATAAAGCAAAATTTCAATTCAAATTCAATGTTAATATTAGAGTTATTTTTTTCTTTGCCAAAAACATTAAACAAAATAATTAAGCCAATGAAGTCATTATCCCATAGTAAACAATAATATTTAGTTCCCGATAAACCAGTTGTAATAAGGATGCTTGCTAGATCTTTGTTACCATTTAGTGGTCACATACTTAAATTGCAAGATGGTACAAAGCACAAAACAAAGCAACAGCAACAACAAAAACCTGAACTAACAGCTAAGTCTGTAAAATTAAAACTAGGGTGAGGCAGTGGCTGGGGTGAAGGTCCCGACCCACAGATTCAGAACTAGCTGACCAGACGGGCTCGACACCGTGCAAAGAGGCATGGTCTGGCTTAGGTCGGAGACAGTGCAGAAGTCAGACTGTTCCTGATTCAGCCCTGGTGGCATGCTCCTGGTCTCCTATGCCTGCTGCTGAGGACAGAGAATGGAACTAATGATTTAAGCATTTTAATACCCCATTGCTTGATGATGTCCCTTAGGCTGGCCTGTGTCCCTCTCATTGCCTTCCAAACAGTTCATAACCACAGAACACATTCCCCAATTATCCAAAACTAGGACTTAATCTAACTGTGTATTGGCTTCCTTTAAACTTCACATATCGACACATACAGCTACGTAATTCTGAACTCAGGCTGCCACATCAGGTGCCATTGAGACAAACTCTCCTCCTAATGGTAACAATGCACCTGATTCAACCTTCAAAGCCCATGGGCCTGGCTAACGAGGACACAGCCTTCCCTGCTTATATAAGCTCTTTACTGAAGTTTTTGTGTCAAATGATCATTTATAAAAACCATTTTCTTCCAGGTAGATATTAAAAACTCAAATTTTTAGAAGTTTTCCAAAATTATTTTGGCTTGTCACAAGAGAAGTACAATAAATGTACATATGAATTAACTGGAAGTAATATTAATATTTAAACCAATTTCAGATATTCAAGTCCAGCAAATATTTTAGAATTCCAGAACACTAAATTGGTTGTATTTACTTATTTCTAGTTCAATCCAGTATTATAGTATAGCTATTTAAATACCGATCACTGATAAATGAGCAGAGTTCTGCAGTTTATATCAACATACACAGATTTGGTTTCTTTTTCAATAACAACGATAATACAAGTGATACCCATACTGCTGGTGGGTAAAGTGATTTAAAATGTTGGCATTAATACTGAGGAAAGACCATTCTATTGCATTAGTAACTTACAGAATAATCATTCGATTAAGGCCTTGATTGAGACAAAGAAATTGGAAGGATGCTACAAAATACTACAGGATAACTAGCAGACAAATTCTCTATGGCTACACTATTAGTATCATACCAGAAATACCTTCTGTTTGAAATTCTATTTTAAGATGTAATACTTATTAAATAAAGAAATGGTTTTCTCATGAAAAAAAGGAAAATTCTAGGAAAAATTTATATATATATATGTAAATATGTACACATATATTAGCCAAGAAATAAAAAATCCTAAGACAACTCTATTATCTTAGAAGTATTTAAAAGGCGGCTTTAGAGTAATTACAATATTAAAGACTAGTTCCTTATCATCAGGTCAACCACTTTCTATTAGAGTTTAGTAACATAGTCAAGTTCAGCCAGTACTTTTCCAAAACAGATTACTGCATCCCTAGTCTATCGCACTGAAATTGTGATACTCCAATAGTAAACTCTGAAGTTACTCACTTAGTCTGCTAATAACAGGAAGAAGTCCACCCCAAGTGTGTAAATATTCTGCCCTGAAACCATCCAAAGAAAATAAGAGGGTAGGAGGTGTTTCAAACCTGGGGAATAAGGGAAAGAAGAAAAAAAAAACATGTTTAAAGAAAGAAGACACACATCCAGTGAAGAGTCGCTCCCTCCTTGGCACAGAGCCAGTGAGGATTTTCCACTGAGGCTGGTATGTAATCTAGACTAAACTAACAAGCTCAGCAAGCACCCGTGTAAAGGATATTTTATAAGCATTTATTTTCATATACAAGGTGCTTTTATTATTTTATTATATCCCTATATATCATCAGATAGTATTTATTAAGCCCTCATATGACTGAGTTACCATACAGAGAGTATCATTCATGGTTTCTTCTAATCCACAACCTGGCCAAATGGTACTAAAAAATGATATTTTCCCAATATGAAGGAGGAGAAATGCTAACACACAGTATTTTCTAAATTACATTTTTGCTTCTATTAATTTTTTTCCTGAACAACCACTTTTTGATACTGTCTTTACTTGAATCTACTAGATGTCACATAAATTATACACAATATTAAGTTTTTAAGTTTAATATATTTAACAGAGAAGTTTAAGAGGTATTTACTATATTTAAATATATAAACAATAAATGATTCACTGCCATGAATGAACAATGACAGCCGTGCACACATGTGTGAACACACAGTTAATGTGTGTGGTGTGGAAATCTAAGCAGGGAGGCAAAAAAGAAAAAAAACATGCAATGATATACTCAGCCGAAGATAATAACTAGAGGCAACTGTCACAGCCTCACCAAAGCAGGCATGGTAAGGTGGAGTCTTCCGATGGTATTGGAGATGGTGGGAGAGCTGTGTACCACTGAACAACCACAAGAACCTTTCACTGAAAATTCACTCAGTAATTCAAAGTCTGAGAGGTGATGCTTATTACCTCGCCTTACTCATTTCAACCCTATCTCCTCCCCAGCTTACTCTCAAATACAAACACAAACAGAAAAAGGAGAAAACGTGTATAGAACTTACGTAATTTATACCAACTAGTGTTTGTAGCAGAGCCCTGTTGGGCAACTCTGCAGAACCAGCTGCGTTTGGTCTCAGTGGTCCGTATCTGTGTTGAGTTATTTATATTCAATCAACAGAAAACAGAACAACAGTTGACTGGACCATCGGGTAAATATGCTGGCATAATAAGTTCCAGTATGATAAAATGTATTTTCAATTATGCTCTTCTTGTAAAGAAAGAGGTTACATTTTCCTCTAAGAAGTCAACATTAAAACTGAAAAATAATAATCAATTTTGGAAGGAAAATAAAAATTCAAATTCACTAAGTTTAAAATTTCTGCTATACCTTGCACTTCAAGGCAGCTTGGGATACATGAGAAGTGACCTTTGAAAAAAGAGCCTCTTTTTTTTAATGTTTTCATTTGAGTTTAGTTTTTTTCTATTGCTACTACTATTATTTTAAACAACTAAAATATATTCTCCCATCCAAAAAAATTTATATATTTTATACAAAAATAAACTATATACACAAATAAAATAAACTAAAACACAGATATAAAATTTTTAATAGTTTGGAAAAATCAACATTTTTAAATAAGTAAAAATATACTTCTTAAGATGAGTAATTCAAATTATATGAGGTAGATCTCAAGTGGAACAAAGCTAAATGTACCTAACACCTTTTACAAAATTTCCGCCATCTGAATTCCACAAAAAATTTTTTTGATGGCCTTGTGTACATAAAGTACTGGGTAAAATAATTTAAGGGCAAGAAGAACAAATATAAACTGTAAAAATTATGTAACATCCTCTCACAGATGTGTTGCTTATCCGCAGTATTTATAAATGTACCAAAATGCAAAAAATACAGAGAAGGTATAATCTGCAATAATTCAACTCTCAAAACTCCAAAAGGAAAGAAAAGGGCCTTCCTTCCTAAGAGGGATGATATAAATATTTCCCAACACTTATCAATACTAAAGACCACATACTCACCACCTCTCTCTTCTCCACTAATCTTCCAGATTAGGGGATCACACATCGCCAGTGCAAAATATGAAGCCTAACTAACTAAAAATCATGTTTAATGAATCAATGAACAATTATTATTTTTATCTTTTCAATTAGGAAAGAAAACAGCATTTCTAAAAAGAAAACATTCACATCTCAGAATATCATCTTACCCTGCTGGGCACTGTGGCTCATTAATACTCTCACAGGATTCTTCTACCCAACTTTTCTCACCTAAGTATTTTAAAGAAATAAAACACATATGAACACACTTGATAATAACAATTGTGATGCTTGTGAGACACATTAGGACAGATTCCCAAAACAAAATGTGTTAACATTTATATAAATAATATGGGATATGATTTTAGGGAAATAAGAAAAATAGGGAGATAATCTGTTTCAAAACAAAAGTCTGTTTCCAAAGAATTAGTTGATAACAGGAAGAAAAAAGCAAACGTGTGATCACAGGACTAAACATAACATTACCTTTGTGAGACCCTGACGGCATCTTTTCCATTTTGATTTTTTAGTAAATTTATTGGGGTGACAGTGGTTCATAGGGTTCAGGTGCACATTCCTATGGCACGTGATGTCTATTGCACTGTGTGCCCACCACCCACAGTCCAATCATATTCATTCCATCAGCATGTAATTGACCCCTTTACCCTTTCCAAATTATTCCTATTTTCAGCCAAAATTTATAACCTTCCTTCTCTCCACCCAACAAAAACTTCTGGGCAAGGCATCCTAATAACACAAGGGTATGTACTACCCTATAATCTTTTGCAGTAATTTCACATCCACTCTCAATGCATGGCAGACATTTTTTTTAATATAAAAGTGTGAGATGGTGTCTGCTTGCTAAGAACTCATAATCTAACTATGAAGAGAAAGTAAATGCATGAGACTACAATCAGTGACAAGAGAGAATGTGCAATTAAGTTTGAAATGAGTCGCACAGGCAATATGTGAATAGGTCAGAAACAAAGGAGACAGGGTGCATGCTCCTCCCTCTGTGTTTTAATGTAACCTTCCTCTTAACAATCTAAAATACCACCTACTAAAGTATAAGAAGCTAATTTTTTTTAAAAAAGAAGATGTAATCTTAATAATACGCCTTAGGAGGTTGAATTTTCAATACTTTCCAACTGTACATTTCACAAAATGAACAGGTTATCCTAAATGCCTAAATTACTTCTGGTAAGAATTTAGGGAATGGGTCTGGCCGGGGTCTTGGCTGGTTGGAGTGTTGTCTCATACATGAAAAGGTTTTTGGGTTTGGTACCCAGTCAGGGTTTGCATGTTTGATCCCTGGTTGGGGCATCTACTAAAGGCAATCAATCAAAGTTTCTCCTCTCACATTGATGTTTCTTCCTCTCTCTCTCTTTTTCTCTCTCTAAAATCAATGAACATAACCTCAGGTGAGGATGTTGGAAAAAAAGACTTTAGGCAACGTGTAGTCACTTTTTCCCCAGGCATGATGACCGATCTGATACAATGCTATATTCTTGTTGAACTTTTTTTTTAATTTGAGGAAGTGGTCACTCTCCTTCTTGTAACCCTCTGACCCAGCTCTGTGCTGGGATCCCCAACAATCTGCAGTAGCTACCTGACTACACTTTTAAGAAATAAGGAGACAGGACCCTGTGGGAAAGTCCCATGTTCATTTAAATGAGCCTCCTGACTCCTAAGAGAGGCAGAGGCCATCATAAAGGACAAATTTACTTTTATTATTCAGTGAGGCATAGAGAGATATTGCTCATTCTTGGAGCACAGTCCCTGAAACCCACAAGTTAGTTCTCTCACTGATGTCTCAGAATCTTGTGACCACGCTCACACTTACTGAGCTATGTAGGCTATAGTGTGCCCAAAAGTGAACCTATAATTTAAGCTCCTCCTATTACTCATGTCATAAATTCAGCATCTAAGCTGTTGCTATTTTTTAATTGAATTTGTGGGAGTGGTATGGCAGACTTTATGCTCATTTTTTATGGGGGAACCTGGAACACAGGAGTCAGCTAGGATGACCTTTCCACAACACAGCATTAAATATATAGCCGATGCCAAAATAACATGAGGGGGTGGCAGCAGGTGAATGAGTGACTATAGACAAAACAAGGTTGGCCATGTGCGAATAACAATTATTAGGCTAGGAATGGGTATACTGTTCATTACATACTCTCTGTTTACTCATATATATATATATATATATATATATATATATATATATGCTCGAAATGTTCTTTAACAAAATGTTTAAGAATATTTTTTCAGCTAATATAGTTGGTCAATAAATACGATTCCTAATGTAAAAAAAAATAGAACCTATGCAAAACCCAGCTAAGACCGAAGAAGAGGTCAGGCTGCTGTGGAGCCCAGTGAGCACGTGGAGGGAAGCTGACCTCGACACACGGGGCTGTAGTTGATGCAGCAGTCACCGTGGTCCCTGCAGTCGTCTGAACAGGCGCAGAGGCTTCTGGGCAACCTTTTCTCACCACACCTGAATTTGCTGCAAGTCCATATGCGCTCTAGAAATAAATTGACAAAAATGTTATGGATCAAAGGTAACACATCCGGAGTAAACTCAGAACCGTGGTCTTTTGGGGCAAGACCCATAAAAGACAGCAAGCTAGCCCCTACCTCTTAGTTACTCACAGACTTTGCCATCACAAACGTCAGCTACAACCAACAGACAGAAAACAGGTAGGCAGCAACTGTGATTACTTCACTAAAACTCCAGAATCTCATCATTTTAAAATGAGCCAAACAATTCTCATCACACAATTCATATGAAGATCTTGGCTTTTTTGGCCAACCATTTTCAGGGTTCTCAAACTTTAAATCTGGCTCACCCCCACTGAAATATTATTCCACATTCCACATCAGACTGAGAAAAATTTCCACGTTCTGAAGGTTTGATTTTAAAGTTTAAGTGGACATCTAAGAACTCTTGCTTTAATAAGCCATAACAAAAATATTCACGTATTTTCACGTGAACATGGTTTAAATGCACATCAGAGACTGTGCAGGTTTTCAGCAAACATTAAAAACAGGCACAGTTTTGCTGTCCATACATTTCATGGCAAAATTGGTGGAATTTTTTTTCTAAGGGAATGTGAAAGCCAAATTTTTATAAATCTCAGATGAGTCAGGTGAATCACAAAACTGAAGAGGCAGAGCCATCCTGTGCTCTGGCACAGGTACCCGTGGCCGCACTTCCTCCCTGCACAATTTTACCTGGTTCTATGCATGTCTCCTGGTAATCAAGACAGCAGTTTCCAAGTTCAACGCAAGCAACATCACAGCGACAGTTCCCAAATGTTCTTTCGAAACAGCGACCTTTGCAACTTTTAACTGAAAATATTGAACAATGAGTTAAATGTTTCTAATCATTATAGAATCACAGAGCAAACATCAACTAACACACCTAAGTTGGGGGTACAGACCAAATTCAAATACTACTTCAGAAAACACAGATGGGAAAATAAAGTTACCTGGGAACCTTTCACAAACACACGTGGAAACTGATACAAAGAGAGGGTTAACATTATGTACACAGTTTATGATTCTCTCTCTTGCCATTGATAAAAGAGAAGTTTTTTTTTTAATTGTTGATCAAGTACAGGTGGGAAGAGAACTTTCTTCTTTCATGTATCATGAACGCTACTGGGTCTGATAAGACTTAAAACCTTTTATGGTATAGTAAAGAGTTGGGATGGGCACTTGTTCTGAAAGTTGGCTTAAAGAGCCAGGGACTTTTCTAAAATTTCAACATGTGTGAAAAGATTTTTACGGTGATTATCTGTGACTCTTTGAGAAGGAGAAAGAATACCTGACGTGCCTTACTCCCAGTCTCGGGGTGCAGAAGAGATGCAAATTGTGCAGGGCACGTTCTGCGGGGCCGCCCCTCCCACCGTCACCGGAAACACCCTTTTCACCAGCAGGCCCGGCCGGGTTCCCTTCCAGGAGCTTTCCCAAACTCCCCAGTCTACGTGCACTTTCCCTTCTGAAGCTTTTACAAAATCTTCTCCTTCCTCTCAGTCACTGAATTCCATTTGTAACTACAGTATTTGATTAGAATCCCAGCCCCAGACTGGAATCAAACTTTCTGAGGACAAAGGTCACACCTAAATTCTGCCCAGTACAAACATATCCCTTATACCCACAAGACGCTTGACTAGAAATTGGTACTGAGAAGTTTCCGTTAGATGGATAAATGACAGATATGGAAGAAAAGACTTTCATTAAAAACAATAATTTCACATTAACTCTTTACTGGATATCTACAAAAACCTGGGACTTTATTAGATTTCTAGCAAATAGGGCCGATGAGGAAACAAATGGAAGTCTAACAAGAAGCAGGAATAATCCTCGATCTTGACTTTAACAGTCTTCGGAACCAACAAGGCACTGCCACAGAACTGAGTTCTCCTGACACTGGAAAGCTAGGCAATTCTAGACTTGAAATGGCAACAATAATTTTTAGAGTCAGACGTACTTATTCTCCTGACTCAGGATGGGGGGAAGTTATTAGAATAATAGCTATTATCTTAAGCTCATTAATATGTACCAAGCAATTTTTAAAATACCATGCATACTATGTTGGGTTTAGATTAAAATTGCTAATTTTATATGTCAACGTGAACTCAAGGCAAATTACTCCATATCAAAAAACTATATAGGTAAACACTAAAGTCTGTAGCTTCTTCATTTTTGCTCCGAATATAGGCACACCTCACTTTACTGTGCTTCACAGACGCTGCAGTTTTTTACCAACTGAAGGCAAGACCCTCAACCAGCAAAAAGATTCCAGCTTGCTTCGCTGCCATACTGGCTCCGGGGCAGTGGTCCGGAACCAGCCCTGCAACGTCTCTGAGGTATGCCTGCAGATTCTTGACTCAACATATCACATTACTACATTTTATTCATTTCAATAAGAAATGATAGCTTAAGAACCCCTGAAAAAATTTAAATGACTAATATTACAATTACAGAGTAGTTGAATAGGAAAAGAATTTTCAAAGTTGAATTCTGTAAGGAGAGACCATCACTAATTTTTACAAGGGGGAAGAAAACCTACCTCAAAGGCAAAATGACTACTACAATGCCCTGTGATTCAGTTTTATTATTTATAGTAACTTATCAATGCAGTGTAGAATAATTTCTACACTCACTATAAAAGAGAAACACATGTAGAAGCTTAAAAATACCATAATTGCTTTGAAACCACCACTGTCCACAATTTTAAAAGCCTTAAGAGCAGGTGAAGATCAATTTCTGGTGGCCTAGGGATGCTGACTGGTCACCTAGTAACCTCTAGGGCTGCTCCCCAACTAACTGCTTGGGAAGAGAGAGTATCTACCCTAGGAGCACCCGGAGGAAGTCAGGGAACCTCCTGGAGCGTGACACCAGAATCCGTCGGCTGTGTCTGGTGGTTTGTTTCTTTGTTCTTCATTTATTTTCTGCCTTTTCAGGGTTTTTCTGTTTCTTTGGTTGGTTTGTTGATCATAGCTCCTCTCTGTTGTTTTGGGATAAGTTTTGCAAGTAAATAAAATATTATATGGCTAAAATAAAAGAGTTTTAAAATGGCTCAAACCAGCATCAAATATGCAATATTAATGGAGTAGCCATAGGATTAGCTCATCACACTCTGAAGGTGGACTGTCAACACACACACACACACACACACACACGAACACTGTACTAATTACCTTCTTTGGCACAGCTTGGTTTCAACCCAAATATACAACCGAGGATTGTTGTTAGCACACAGACTGACAATACCTGTAGGGAGAAAAAAGGAAATTTATATAACCTCAAGACACTTTTGTTTCTTCAAATGTTTTTTTCTCTTCAAATGTTTCTAAATTTGCTGGTGTTACCCTATTTCCTGATTGGGGTGCTGGTCACACAATTGTGTTCACTTTGCAAAAATTCAAACTGCACACACATTTTATGGACTTTTCTGTATGTACGTTAAACTTCAACACAAGGTCTACTTAAATGTTAGCAACGAATCTATGTATCCAAGGTTAATACTGTCAGACATTTTCCATTTGGTATAAATTAATCCAAGTAGAGAACTTGTGATTATTAGGATGGACAAAGTCCATTTAGAGCCTCAATTTCCTATTTGTTAATCCAGAGAAGGCGAAGCGAGTATCGGATGCTTCCTTTAACAGTTTGACTACACAAACTGGCACAGTATCCTCACAGGCACTGTGGCAGCCTATGGAATGAGCACTGGACAAGCTTAGGTGAGTATGTCTCCAGTCCAAATGTCACCACAAGTTGGTTGTATGATTTGGGACAAGTCACTTAAGAATTCTAAATAGCAGTTTATTCACCTGTAAAATTAAAGGGTTGGACTACATGGATTCCTAAAAATATTTCCGGTTCTATCATCTTGGTTCTTTCTCATTCGCGACTCTTCTGGCCTTTGACATTTTAAAATAAGTGGATATACCATTCAACTCTGAAGGACAATAATGACAAAACTTTCAATTGTGAGTCAGAAGGAAAAGAAGAATCCATACGATCCATAATATTTTTAGTGGGAAGGAGTTTCCTTGACAGCTCTCTGGAAGGTCACTTTGCAGGACAATTCAACCAAATATTCATTGAATACCAACTATGTGTAAGAACTACATTATGCATTGAAGGAAAGGGTAAGAGGTACTTCAGGGGGCTTCTGTTTTTGTGGAAGGAGGTAAATATAACAGCATAAACGGCTCATATTTGGTAGCCTCTGCAAAGCAGTTGCAGAGTTCTATCACTGTTTAAAGGAGAAAGTTTGGGGTGGTTGGGGATAGAGAGGGTAGAAAGTACATCATAGATAAAGTGTTTGGGGGCCAATGAGGGACTGACACTGGAGGCAGAGTGGAGGGGATCGAAGGGAGGACACAGCAGAGCAGATCTTTGGATCTCGGAGGGAGATCAGCATAAGGAAAAGCTCAGAGAAAGGAAGGCCAGTGGAAGGTGGCACATGAACAATCAGTGGTCTCTTTTGGCTGGGACACAGTGACTGCAGAGAAGAATGGACAGGGACCCAGGGTGGAGGCATGGAAAGGCAGAGTCACATTTCCCAAAGGCCAAGATGAACAGAGAGTAGAGACAGGAGGAACGGGTGACCTGGGCGGGGTAAACGGTGGGTGGTGGCTTTTATGAACACATTCCTTCAAATGAGGCACTGAGTATTGATGCCAGACTCTAGACTCAGTAGTGGCTACTCAGTAACAAAACGGGCATGACCTCTGTACTCCAGGTGCCTAGCTTAGCTGAGTGTAGGAGCTAAAGGGGAGGTGAGTGGTAAGTAAACTGAAGCAGCAGGTATAACTTATTTCCAAAAAATGGGGGTGAAGGAAAGGAGAGCAAGAGTGTGGTGGGTCTAAAACACTACAGTGTCTAGGCAAGGCCCCCTCCCTTTTTTAGGAAATCAAAAATGTAAGTGCATTTATGTCTATTAAAATAGGAACCATCAGAAGAGCTTGAACAAATAGCTAAAACCAGCAGAGGCAGAACAAGGTACCAGAAGAGATTACTAAGGGATTCTCCTAAACCTTTGATAATAGTGTAAATTGGCACACCATATAGATGCATGATTTAAAGGTATTCATCAAATATATTAAAAACTTTCTTTCTGTCAAATCTATAGGGAAATGAAAAAACAGTAAACCTAACCTATATTAATATACTGTAATTTAAAACACAGAAAATTAAAGTTTAAGTTCATTGTAATAAACTTTTCAAGAACAGTTTAAACAATGCTTATCTTCTGATCACATAACTTACAATACAGAGTGAGAATCTTTTCTATGTCTTTGTGAATTGTCACATTCTTAGTTTCGATCAGTTTCCAATGCTTTAACCTTTGCCCTTTCAATATTAAGAAATATCTTCAAGAGTTCCTTTAACATAAATTTGGGGGTCAGCATCACTTCCTCTGAGACATCTTCATCCTTTTCATCACAACCACACTCCTTCTTTATGTCAGTAAATTTGCCATCAGTGAGTTCCTCTGGCTGCATATCCAGAGTCTAGTAAAGGGTGGCAGTGTTAACATTCTACGGTTAGCTATTTCTTCCACCCCCTCATCTACATTCAATTTGTAATTCACTTCCAGCCTTATCACTTTTATTTTTTAACCACTGGGTTAAAACATATATGGTATGTATAGACCTTTACCCTCTTGTTAAGCTACAGAAGAGATACACTGATTTTTGAGTCACCTCTTCTTTGCTAAATATTCCTTAGATTTACCTTTTATAAGATAATGTATAGCATGTAATTGAAACATAAGTACAACAGAAGCAATCATTTCTCACCTATAATCCCACCCATGAAAGATGAAATTTAGATTACCTATGACTATACTACACAACACCCAATCCGAATAATTTCCAGTAGGAAATTTCTCATCAACAATTTTGAGAGCTGCAAAATCTAATTCCATTTGAATTTTCTTCTTAAATTAGTTTAATTCTATAATATAATAGCACAATTTCTTTATAGAATAAAATTGTAACTTCAAAACTATCTCCCTTTCTAATTTATGATAGCCTTCAAAATATATACTTTATATCTCTGTATTTCCAACCCATGTTCAACCTCATTAAATTAAATTAAGAACTATTAATGCCTGGACTTCTAGTCAAGATGGCAGTATAGGCAGACATGTTCACCTCTTTGTACAACCACATCAAAACTGCAACTAAAATATAAAACAACCATCATTCAGAACCATCAGAAATCAAGTTGAATGAAATTCTGACACCTACAGAATTAAAGAAACCATATCCATCCAGACTGGTAGGAGGGGCCAGACATGGAACAGGCTAGTCCCTCACCCACGTGGATAAAAATTTGGGAGGGATATCTCAGAAGCAAGGAGTCCCAGCCCCACGCCAGGCCCCCTCAGTCTAGGGTTCCAGTGCCAGGAAGATAAGTCCCCACAACTTCTGGCTGCCAAAACCAGCAAGGATTGAGTTGGTAGAAGAAACTGCTGGACAAGCAGTTCCTCTTAAAGAACCCACACATAGACTCACCTACTCAGATTCACTCCCTCTGAGCTCCAGCACTGGGTTAGTAGCTGGAAAGGCACCAGTGGCATAAAGGAAGGAACTGAAGTGCCTGGCATCAAGGTGAGCAGAGGTCATTGTACCTTTTCTAAACCCTCCTCCCACAGAATTATGCAGCCAGCAAGCCGGTGCCATATCTGAGACTCCATCAACCTGGCTAATACCATTTGACCCATTGTGGACATCCCCAGAGACTCCGACCCACCCAACTCATGGGCCCATCCAAGCTGCTTTTTCATATGAATGGCTGAAGTGGGCTCACGCTTCACAAATTCCTAAATCCTACCAAACAAGCAAGAGCTGGCCTCAGTGAGCCACAGGACTGCACTGGCAGCAGCCAGCCTAGATTCACAGCTTGACTTCACCTGGGAACCTCCAAGCCCAGGACAATTAGCAGCCATCTCAGATTGTTTTACAGCTCATACAGGGGGGCCTGGGAAAAACACGGGTGGGGGCCTTGTCTGCTCCACCCCAGGAACCCCAGGACCAGCTCACCCAGTGGACAGCTACAGTCCATGTTGGAGACCCACCACCCTGCCCCTGCACAGCTGATCCTGCATGAAGGGCGGATGTTGGTGGTCAGTGGTCACAGCCAGTTCTTGCAGCTGAATGGCCTGGGTAAATCCCTCCCATTGATTTGCCAACAGCAACCCAGTCTCAACTATAAGAGGAGGATCTATTCAACACACACAAAGGGCACACCTCAAGTACCCCACTTGGGTGATAGGGGTGGCTGTGCCACTTGACCCTACCGGACACCTACTACATATGGCCACACTACCAAGACACAGAGTCAAAGCAGCTTTACCTAATACATAGAATCGAACACAGGGTGGCTGCCAAAACAAGGGGACAAAGAAACATGACCCAAACTCCAGAAAAACAGCTAAACAAAATGGAGATAAGCACTCTATCAGGTGCAGAGTGCAAAACACTGGTTATAAGGATGTTCAAGGAACTTAGTGAGGATCTCAGCAGCATAAAAAAGATCCAGTCAGAAATGAAGGATACACTAATTGAAATCAAGAACAATTTACAGGGAAACAATACTAGAGTGGATGAAGCCAAGAATCAAATCAATGATATGGAGTATAAGGAAGCCAAAAAAACAAAAACAAAAACCCAATCAGAACAACAAGAAAAAAGAATTCCAAAAAAATGAGGGTAGTGTAAGCAGCCTCTGGGACAACTTCAAGAGGTCCAATATCCACATTTTGGGGTGCCAGAGAGAGAAGAAATTGGAAATCTATTTGAAAAAATAACGAAAAAATTTTTTCTAATTTGGTGAAGAAAATAGACATGCAAGTCCAAGAAGTGCAGAGTCCCAATTATGATGGATGCAAAAGAGGTCCACTCCAAGACACATCATAATTAAAATGCCAAAGGTAGCCCTGGCTGGTGTAGCTCGGTGGATTGAGCGCCAGCATGCAAACCAAAGGGTCACCGGTTTGATTCCCAGTCAGGCACATGCCTGGGTTTTAGGCCAGTCCCCAGTAGCAGGTGTGAGAGAGGCAACCATACATTGATGTTTCTCTCAATCTCTTTCTCCTTCCCTTCCCCTCTCTATACAAATAAATAAATAAATAAATAAATAAATAAATAAATAAATAAAATCTTTCTTTTATGTAAAAGGTAAAGATAAAAAGAGAATCTGAAAAGTAGTAAGAGAAAAGAAGTTAGTTACCTACAGGGGAGTTCCTATAAGAC